CCTGCCACGGCGGAGAGCGAGCGAGAGAGAGACACAGAGAGCGAGACAGAGAGAGAGAGAGGGGGAGAAAATCTCAGGCGGGGTAAAACTGCCTGCCTCTCTCCCCCGGTTAAATTAGACCCGAGAACAACGCAGGTGACTCAAATCATTCCTTTAGGACCGGCTACAGAGTGCAGGCAGTTGTGGAAACTTTGGCCAATTAAGCAGAGTATAGCATCAAAACGCCAGTGAATTTCTTACCGGAGTAGAGCTGGAAACGGTAGAGCGCCAGTTTTGTGCCTTGACATAAATTCAGAGGCGCATGCGCGAAAACGTACAGACGTTCCAGGCGCGTGGGAGGAGGACCGTGCCCGCGAGGGCCCTCGCTATCGCGCACGCGCACTGGGTCCGATCAACTTAAAAATTGAAACCCCACAACTGGATATATAAGTGTAGCCTGTCTAATGTGTTTCTAGTGCGCTACAGGCACACACTGTTATTATTATCAAAGATTTCATCACCACCACAAATCAGCCGAGTCCAATTACAGCTCCAGTTTGTTTTACCTGTAGGTTATAACACAAAATTAGACTTAACTCAAATCGAGCCTTCACTTTTAAGTGTTATACTGTTATTTAGTGCGCTCTAGCAGCCGATGATCAGCAGCCTTCTGCTGAGACACAAACCTCTGGAACAGCATTAGTTAAGTGTTTGTTTGTTTATTTATATATTTATTTAACAGAAAGAAGCTACTGCTGAAGTGCACTACTTGCGATCAGCACTTGATCAGAAAATGCTAAAAATATCTTTCTTTGAAACACACTAGCATCTATCATGAAAGCACGAATAGTCAACATGACTAACTACCTGACTAACCAAAGTCTCACATCTCAATAAGATTTTAATCTACTGAATGGTGCTGAGAGAGGAAAACCAACGTGCACGTGCACTCAACCACTAAACTGTAAGGGGGTGTCAAAACATGGCGACTGAGGTGCAAAACTGTGAAAGAGGTTAAAGTAAACACGAAGCTGAAATCGGCTTCCTATTGCCCAGCTTCTTGTTCGAATTTTCCCGTTCCACCTTAAATGGCGCAGCAGTCGGTCTGGCGCCTCTATGTAACTACTGGCGCCAGACTGTAACTGCTGCGCCATTTAAGGTGGAACGGGGAAATTCGAACAAGAAGCTGGAGAATAGGAAGCCGACTTCAGCCTCGTAGAGTAAACGGATTTAGCGAGTCTTTCACGTCAGACACTGTTTTGTATTACACGTACATACCTTATAGTTTTCTCTAAAAACGATGGGAGGTGCCTCAAGGATGAAATCTCTCACGTTCAACAGGCTGTAAGACTTTCACTCCAAACCGAACTGTCGCAAAATCATTAATCAAACCTGACGAGCAGTCACGGACACTAACGAGAAGCTCACTTTGTGGTTATATGACAATTCAAAGACGGTTCAATGCCGTCTTTTTGATGGAAATAAGAGTAGCCTACCGTCTCTGTACAATATTTTTTACATGCTACATTGTACTTTTGCCCTTCTCCGACTTAACCACGAGATTAATACTTGCCACCCGTTTTCACTTAATTACGCTATATTGTCTATTTATAGGCCTATATGCGTATATAGCCTATGTTAATCGCCAACACATCAACACCAGTATCGTTTAATCAGTCATATGGTTTGGGACTTTTATTTTGACGACGCAAAGGCTCATTCACGGAGTGTGTCGAAGTGGTTTTGAACGGCTCCTTGAACTTAACAATTAGAGCCGATTCATTCGGAAAGAGCGGTTCAGTTCTTAAATCACCTAGTTTGGAAGGCTTTGTTGATGACTACCAGATTTTTTTACTTTGCTATCTGTGGTGATGGTTTCTAGTAACGCCAGTTTAATCTGTGCGTTTTCTTGTCTGCACAGGTTGCTGTTTTGCGTTGATTCAAGCTTCTAATGTTACTACTTCCACATATGCCTTTGCGAGAGAAAAGGAAGCTGAATGTCCGATGTTCTCGGTATACAAGATAGGTTAAGTGTCATTTGTAAATCTCAGTTTTGGATACGAATATAGCGTGTACAGAAAACACACACACATGCACACATTTACTAAACCGCTTATCTATACAGAAAACAGTCGTGTTCAGAATCACTGAACATTTTCTGGGAAAGAGGCTAATGTCGGCACACCGTTTATATAATCTTGTTTGTCTAAGTATGCTGATTTTTGATTAATAGTAGCAAATACTGCACACATGCTCAGAGTAGACGAGAAAAAAATGGAGGGAAACATGCACTGCAATTTGGGCCTCAAAGAGTCGACTCAGAGCCGAAAGAACCGACTCTTTTGACTCCCCCATGAATAACCAGCGCTACTGCACGGAGCAACGCAGGCCTTTCTTCTTCTCTGTGTCAGACTCAAGGCTGTGAGCTCTACTGCCACCTACAGTACCGATCAACCATACAATCATCTAAAACGAGTCCCTTCAGCATGGCATACAAAGAACTGGTGAAGATAACGTACAGTACGAGATTTTAGACTTCTCTTTTCCTAATCCCTCCAAAATGATGGCGAGCGAGAAAGAGATCACACCAGTCTTTGATGTATTGCTGTCTTTCTACCGCGTGGAGCTTTGCAACTTAGTAGGCTAGCAGCCTACAAGAGCAAAGGCCTGCGACCACCATTTTGATGAAACAGATTTTCCTGGTGCCTGTTGCATATTTATTAACTTATTAAGTTAGTTACATTTCACAATTAATCAAAATTAAAACACCGCTCTAAATGCGCATCAATTTAACTGTTATTACATTGCAATATCCAATTAATTCATTCTGTACCAAAGGCGTGCTACAACCTGAACATGCACGTAATGGATGCTTTCCATCATTACATCTCCTTCATTTGGAGATTCAGCACAGGTGCCCAAATTTCCAGGCTGTTACTGATATGAGCCATGATTGTAAGTTTTATTTGGACTTAGATTTACTTGTTTAAGCTAAGACAAATTAGTTTTACCCTCTCTATGATATATATATATATATATATATATATATACATACATGGGCATTACTTTACCAATGCACATTACTGCTACGTGGATGGCCTGAGTTTATATCCCTTATATCACCTCTTATCTGGATGGACAATAATCTGTTCATTCATAGCATTTCAACTGCAGTTCAACTGAACATTTTCCACACTTCTATTGTTTTGTTCTTTAAGATCCCTTCTATAACCTGTCAAATTATTTTAATGCATTGCCTTAATTTCCAAAGATTTCCAAAGATTTCTAGGAGTATAACAATGCATCCTGACATTACAGTGCAAATTGGTGGCATGTCTACTGCAAATGTACCAGTTTGTAAACAGTTAGCACAAATTAACAACTCACTCCAGAAGTACTCCTGCCTCCCAGCTCTAGGCTAGCAAGTTGTGCAACGTTTAAATTTTGGTCAAGATGTTGTGAGAATATCTAATTATAAATCAAATCAAATTATGGACTGAGTGAATCGTTACAGGGAAAACAGTGTTACTGTTTCGTTTATTGACTGTAATCAGGATGCCCCCTTTTGTCTAATAAATCTTAAGTCTCTTCTGTCTGTGCTTGTGCTGTTGTGAGGTGTGCTGGGGAAGTTTAACTGAACATTTAATTGAGAACAAGAAATAAGAGAGAAAGTGTAGGGCTCATGACTCTGAGTAGCACCTTCATATCAAAAGAGCTGAAGGGTCTACATAGAGTACTGTCACTTCGATAAGAATTCAAAGTCTTTTGTTTTTCTTGGGGATGCTTCAGATGATCACACCCACTTGTCCATTTTAGTATCCAGTAAACTTCCACAGAGTCAGCGATGCTGATACTAATGTTCTAAATTTAAACGTACAGTCATATGAACACCCCAGTTTGAACACCCCTGGACAAATTACATGTATGTTGATATTCTATGTGAAGTTAACACATCATCTACAGGTAACAAACAAGTGTTGCATGTTTCTTCAGTTTCTCTAGTGCACAATTTTTATTTATTAGCTAAGTTTAATATATTGAGAAAAAAATATATAAAATGTGCCGTAACTTTTGCACAAGCCACGTTTTATGTTTTATTTTTTCCCACCAATATGCTACATTCAGCAACAATATAAACTGTGTATTAAAATGTGCAGAAGTGTGTTCTGTGTAGAGGATGTTTTCAGCAATACTTGTAATTTGGTGCTAAAATGTTTGCATATGACTATAAACAGGGCCAACTTCAACAGGTCCAGGACAGCTAACTCAATACAAAGACACATAATTTGCCTGATCCAGCCAAATTATGATAATTCCACATCTGTGCTTCATATTCCATATTTTATTTGGAATAATATAGCACAATATTAATAAATTGTATAATGTAGTGTGTGATATTGTGAGGGCTGCACATCTTCAGAGGCATATTATCATCATTCTGTTCTTTTCATTGACAGCCATAAGATCAGGCATGTGCTAGTCTCATCGCTCATGGACGAATTTAGGTGAGATAATATTTGGTTGTGTCCAAATATAACACCACCAGACCCCTGATAGCTGTGACCAGTAGAGCGCTGTATCTCAACTGCAGTCCTACAGAGCCCCTTCTTAGCACAGTTTCAGCTATTCTATACCCAACACACTTAATTCAACTCACAAAAGGCTTGATAATTACCTAATGGGCTGTATCAGGTGTAAACAAGAACTGGAGTTGAGAACCACTGCAATGGAGAAACCAGTCTTACCTTTTCCTAGATTAGCACTTTTACTTAGAGAAATGTTATAAATATTAGTCAAAGCCCACCAAATGTCCTGACCACAACATGGCAATTACATTAGACTCTGTTAAGATTTGTTTGCAAAGTGTGTCACTTATATATCATAGAAATACATTAACAAATTCTGGTGTAAGATGATATAAAACATCTACTAATATACCCTCTCACATTTGCCATGTTGGTACCAGCATTAAATTCTTCCAAAGAGCACCCACAGTAAAATCTCACATTTTAAAATAAGCATCATTTCCAAACTCAGTTTTAATGCAAACTCAAACATCTTAACATGTGTAACATCAGATTAAAAACAGGTAATGAACATCGCAGGATTGCTTGTACAATCTAGGGATCTCTCACCTCACACACTTTATCCAAACTATAAATGATTGTCATACTTAAGAATTTAAACATTTCTTTTGAGAAGCAGGATCATATTCATAGCTCCTGCCTTAATTCCTGCCTCTATAGAGAGAGTGGGAGATGAGGCCACAGAAATCCTACCCACATCACACAGAGAACCCCTACTGTATTGAATCCTTTGGTCTGGCGGTGTGCCAGCCAGTCTAGATCCACAACTCCTCTCACCTCTTTCACTGTTGAGTGTCCAGTATACAAAGGTCTTGCATAATGTTCAGTTTAATAATATAAAAGTAAGATGCAGATCTGCACTATTCAAGTAGTAACTGTGAGAAGAAATCCATCAATACACATCAGTGAAGACATTTTCTTGTGACAGTTCAGATTTTTTATCATCCTAAGAAATTACGCAACAAAATCACTTAAGTGTTATGGAAACATATGTACAGTTTATTTGAAGAGGAAGCCAAGCTACGTGCATACTCTCACTCTTTCACGTTATCACACACAGGCCATATTGTAAAGACAACGAGAGAGGTGAAGGAAAAACAACAAAAAAAAAAAACAAAACAGGAATGAAGTTAAAGCGATAATGGTAAAAGGATATGCTGAGCAGCATACTGATTCCAGATGGATTTCTGGTAGAGTAACAAACCTGACTATAATCTTAGCTGATAGCTAGGAAATGAGGGGGGAAAAGTGATGACCTGTTATCTATACAACCAAACTACCTGAGCCGATAGACTATATTCTCTCCTCTCTGTCTGATCAGCCACCAACATGACCAATCATGCCATTCAAACAGATGACACAAAAAAGGCAGCACTGAGAAATGTGCATGAAGGAGGAAAAAGAATATCACTTCATAAATCAACACCGATGGATATTATGATCTCAATGGGGATGAAGTTGTTCATTTCTAAACAAATTGCATCTTTAGACATGGTTCCTCTCTCCTCTCAGCAGATACTAGCCCTTAAAATAGATATCCCAAACACACGTACACTTCACCCGTAATGTTGAACAAATCCAGGATTCATAGGTATATTAATATCCTACACAAACAAACCTACACAGACTGCCCAAGAGATCTATGAAGTTCAGTGTAAAATAGCAGAAGATTCAAAAAAGGCGAAAACAATGGGCAGGACTAAAGAATCAACCGTGATGGTTAAAAGGGCTTAGGTCCTGTAACATCCTGGTCCCACAAATACAAATCAACAGAGGGGCATAAACTAATTTCTCTCATCCTTTCTCACACACTCCTGCTCTCTTTCTCTCTCACACATACATACAGCACATGAGGCAAGTCCATGGTGATAAGCGCCAATAACACAAGAAGAACTACAGGTGAATCTGGAGTGATAAATTATTCTATTTAAAAAGAAGAAAAACCTTTACAAACAACATTTACAAATGACCCTTAGATCAATAATCAATATTGACTCCTCCCACCTTTTTTTTCTACATCTGCAGGAGTTATCCAAAATGTTTTGGACAAAAACAGATTTTTTTTCAAACTAATAAAACATTTCTGACACTTTTGCTGAACATGTACCCAAACTCTCCATAGTTTGCTATGAAAGACTGTGTAGTGTCTTTGGGCCTTCATTTCGAGGCAATAAAACGGAGCAGACACTGTACATAAACCGCCTCTTCTGCCTGGCATGCCTTGTGACACAGAGAGTACAGGTTTGAGAAATGACTCTCTCAGTTCTTAGAGTGGCTGAGATTCTGCGCTGAACTTTGACCTGTACAGGAGCTCTGGGCATCACTGTTGCTGGACTCTATATGCACAGATGAGAAGTTTAACCTGTGGAGATACAGAAAGACACAGTCTCTGATTAACACAAAGCATCTGCAGTAGGGATTAGAATCTCTAGGAACCTCATAATTTAATCTGGGGTGCAATTATAAAACAATTCTTTATGTAACTGTGATTCGTAATTTCTATAAAATGTCAGGTCTTCAAACCCAGAACTTGAATCAAGTTTGCAGCCCTGTTTTTTTCTAATCACTGGTAGTTAACTGAACTGCTGGTGTAAGTAACTCTACTGCCATACCTACCAGTGATTAGAAAATCCAGGACCAAAAAAAAAAAAAGGATTCAAGGTCTGGATTTGAAGATCTCTGGCCTATATTATGTTTATTTCTTTTACCTTCATTTATCAAACTAAGTAGTGGTAGCTGAGTTTACTCCAAATGTAGCTTACACACAAGAACCACACTTGTTATATCTACAAGACTACATCTTTCACCATCAAACAGATCTGAACTAAAAACTAAACTAAAAACTCTGGGGGGGTTAGTTGATATTTTTGGTCCACACATCACACAGAGGTCTTAATTCTGTAACCCCCCCACATCTATTCTATAGCGTGTGCATCCAAGTTACATGTGATCGGCATCTCCCCACCAGTACAGCTCCCTCACCTTAGCTGTGGGTGACTCAGCCAGACGAATAAAGAGTTTGTTGGCTCCTGGAACAGGGCTGAAGGAATAAATAAAGTGGCTATCCTGTTAAGAGAAGAGCACAGGCAGGTGAATGGAAGATTTTGGAGCAGCTCACTATTACTATAGAGCTAATCAGAGCAAGCACAGAAGCAAAAAAAGGGAGCAATGTAATGGCCACAGTATACTTGACTAACCACATGTATGCATGCACAAAGATGGCCTCTTATCCTGCATTCATTTGAAGCGTAGTTTGTGCGCGTCTTCAGAAACTAACATAATGCAATGCACTGTGATGTGAGGTCAGCAGCAGACAGAAACCATGACTACTTTCTGCTGTTTTCTCACGTAAAACCAGTTGCAGTGTATCTTATCAGCTAAAAGCCGTTGTGGCTGTGGATTTTCTTTCCACCAGTGCAAGAGCACACATGATCAATTGTTTGAAGACAAAGACTAAATTAATCAACAAGTACAATCAGGTGTGCCTCTGTCTTTTTTCAATGTAAACCTGGAGCCACATCCACCCTTTGCAGATGAGTTTGGACACTCCTGCGTTAAACAATAACACAGTCTGCTCAGTGGTTATGCTTCTCATTGTTAACTTTGTTGCGCTACATGAGAGAAAGTAATTATGGAAGATATACTTGTGCCAGCACGGGATGTTTTATACTTGACTTGCCCTCTAGTGGATGTAGCTTTTAGTCGCCCAGATAGACAAAAGGTACGCAGACTAGTATGAGAACATTGTTGCTCAAATAGCCACTGAGTACACATACATATGCATGTGATTACAATTAAGTATACTGTGGCAGTGGAAAAACCCTTTAGTGATCATATGCTCAAAGAATAAGGTCTGAGTCTTACAAGGAAGATGGGCAGCTGGAACTTGTCATTAAGGATGACAGCATGGACGCTACAAGGCCCGCAGAGTCTGGCTGTGATCTCACTCATAAAGTTAGCATGGAAGATAAAGAGCAGGATACCTGATCCTGGGACATGAAACAGAAAACACCAGCACTCAGAGGTGCACAATATATTGGCAGCTGATATACTTCTCACTGATAAGTGGGAATATCAAATTATTGTTTCGATATTAGAATTACAGCGATATTACACCTGATAACTTGGCATTATTTGAGATAACAAATGCACTGACGCATGGATGAATAGTTCCACCACCTGTCTTTACTTGTTTTAGTATAGTGATTTCTTTAAGCTGTTAGTGATTTGTGTCTTACCTTCTCCAGGTGTGGGTTGTGGAGGTTTGTAATTGAATTCCAGTGAAAAATCTGGTCCCTCACACAGGCGATGGCAGGCCAGAGGAAACACCGGCTCCAGCAGAGCCAACCGTGACTCAAAATACGCTCTGATCGTCTCCTCCGCCACTGTTGATAACCTGCAGACAATTAAGTTCACAAGGTTTTCCACAATGAAAACATCATGAATGCTTAAACATTTGTCTAGTTTCAAGCAATATTTGCATAAAATCTAAATCTAATGGTTTATGCTGTGGAGTCAGAGTCTCTTTTAAAGGGCACTCACGTCTGGATATGGTCTTTGATGAGGTCATATACCATGAGGTTGTTGCTGAGCTTGGCAAAGTGCAAGGCTGTGTTCTTGTGCTTAGAGAGGATGTTGCAGTCAGCTCCATATTCCAGCAGGAGGCGAACTACATCCGCATTTCCCCTTTTACATGCCTAACACAGAAGAAGCAATCAGCATTCATGGCAATTGAGCATTAAAATGACCAATCCATAAAAGACAGTGGAATTAAAACACAAACACTGAGATTTGCCTTTCCTCACCTTCATAAGGGCTGTCTCCCCACCCACTGTTTGAGCATTTAGGCACGATCCTGCCTCAAGGAGAATGGCCACCGTGGTCAGGAAATTCTGGATAGAATAAAGTAAAAGGTTGATGCAGACCATATTTTTACAACCATATTATCGTAACATTGAGTGAATGACATGAATGGATGTCTTGTGTAAGGCGAGTCTGAAGGACTGCTTCATCAGTGTGACGCTAATTACCTTCTCAGCAGCGTGCATAAGGGCCGTGGTACCATTCTTCTGCCTTCCATTCACCTTCACTCCCTTCTTAATCAGCAGCCGGAGAATGTCATCCTGTCCGCTTGCAGCAGCCAGCATGGAGAGGGACATACCACTGGAATCCTGCAGAGGGCAGACCATTCCCATGTACACAAGCACGCATGGAAAGCAAAATGCAAGTGGATGAAACACACAAGCGTAGTGTGTTGAAGTTTTTTGGATCAACAGCATGATTACAGTTGCAGGCTACTTTTTATACTATGAACAGCAACAAGAATTAACATATACTAACAATTACAAGCAGTAAACTTAAAGCTAGTACAATGGCTGCTTTGGTACTGTTTCAGCAGGTACTGATTGAGGTTAAATTGACAAAAGCAACACTTATCACCCAATACTGAAATACAGAAACCAGGCAGAGATGGCGCATACCTCCTGATCCAGATTGTAGTCCTCTTTGGAACTGAGTGCACGTTTCACAGCCATGTAATTCCCATTTTTTACAGCTTCCCGTAGTTCACCTGTGTTTGTGAACATTTGTGAAAGTTTTTGTTATTATTAATGTGAGAGGGTTAGTGTAAAAATAAATAAATAAATATATAAATAAAAAAAAACCCTCACCAGGAGTTAAGGCTAGTGGAGAAAGATTCTCATCCTCTCCATTCAAGTGTTTTTGGAAGTCCTCCAGCGTCATCCAGTCCAGCTTCAGTTCCACCCCAAGGTTGAGAGAAGGCGGCCCCCTGTCTGCTAGACATACAACCACAGCGTTTAAGTATGGCTGCAGCGACCTCTTTTTGTGTGCTGACTCTACTATTTCACATTTGTTTGATCATTACACCGTAAAGCATGGTTAATGAAAACATCTGAAAACAATGTTATCCCATCAAGACAAGAAATGAGTATGTGAAAATACATTAGGTCAGCTGGTGAATTTATTGAAATTATGTGAGTAACTAATGAAACTGATAGAAAATGCACTGGCATTTTGAGGCAGTTTGATTTGAGGCTTACACTGTGCTCGTATTTTAAAGCATCATCTGACCAGATTCCATCCACACAAAAACCCAGTTTAAAATGGCTGTACAGAAAAGTAATGTATGTCTACACAGCAACTGCATTATAATAAATTAAAAAAAATGTAACAAAAAAAGCAAAAAGAAAATGTGACAAGCATCTCTGTTGAAGGCAATACAAACCAGGAGTTTTATCAGAGCGTTCCAGGGGGTCCTGAGAGTCCTGATTGTCATCACAGGCAATGAGGAGGCGTGACTCACTGTCCTCTCGCCTTCTCCTTCTCCTCTCCTTCCACCTCGAGTCCTCTGTAGACTCAGGTGATGCCATAGCCTCCACCACAGACCTCCGGTCCAGACGATCTAACCGTGCCTCCTCTGACAATCTCTGTCTCTCTCTCTGTGCCTCCTCTGCCAATCTCTGCCTCTCTCTCTGCACCTCCTCCATCCTCGCTTTTCTTTCTCTCTGGGCTTCCTCAATCCTCTCCTTCCTCTTTCTCTCCTCCTCCTCAATCCTCTCTTTCCTTCTTCGTTGCTCCTCTTCTTTCTGTTCACGCTGTATCTCCTCCTTTGTCTTGGTGGGAGGCTCATCTGACCTGTCACTCCTCTCCGACTCTGGTGTGGCTTTTTCCTGTTTCTCCTCTGCCTCGAAAGAAACAGGACTCTGACTAGCTCTTGGGCCTGGAAATGAACAGAAATTGGAGAAACATTAACACTGTCAAACTAACAGGCAAAACAATTATATAAATAAAAAGGGAAGAAATCGGTTAGGAGCTCAAACAAAACTACAACTGGATAAATCACTAAAACACACACACAAAAAGATTCCTCACCCTCCTTTGCCTTTTCTGACTTGTCCAACTCAGTCTTCTGTACTGGAGACTCCTTTGTCAGCTTCATCTTTTTATCAGTCTTGCCTGAATTCTGAAACAGGACACAAAATCAACACATTTTCAATCAAATCTGATTGAAAAATCTGATTGAAAAATGGGCACTCCCATATTTCACTGACAATGTTGTGATTCATCAATTTAATCTTTGACAGATCTGTATGATCAAACTTGAGTCTGGTAGGATTGTGTGTAAATTAACAACCTGAAAAAAATGCTTGACTTGTGTTTAACCAGCCAAATCAGTATCATTTATAATAACCAATAAGAACAGAAATACAAAATAACAATAATATCAATAATTTATGCACATGGCAATGTAGATGTACTTATTTCACATGTGCATTAGTATGAATAATTGCTGCTATTCCATGTTCCATTTTATTACATTGTGTTTTTTTATACTACAGACATTGCCAAAAAAATAAAAACCACAGCTAGTGCAGTAGCATCCGATATACTGCGATACTACAGTGTTATTCTAGGAAAATAATGACATTACACACTCACATCATTCTGCCTTCTTAAAACAACTAAGACATTTTGTTTATTTCACATTTTATTCTTTCCAGACGTTGTAATTTTAACACCATAAAGTCTGTTTGGTAGGGGGAGCAGTGCGCTCACTGCTTGAGTACAGATGTGGTGACTTGTACCTTTGGTGTTGTGTGAACAGCCTGCTTCCTGGGTACACGGTCCTTGGCTTCACATGTCAGCAAGAACTTTTCAAAGAGATTGTTGGGGTTCCCCCCTTTCTCCCCAGCTTCATCCTTTGGCTCCTCCTCTCTGGACTTGTTGGAAGGAGCTAAAGCTAAAGTGGACGAAGAAGATGAAGACACAGAATCCTTCTGAGGAGGACAATTTGATTCCTGGCCTTTGCCCTTAGTTTTTGGTTTTGCCGAGGCTCCCGTATCACCAGAGTCAGGGTCATCCTCACTACGAGATGACTTACTGCTGCTCTTACTGCTAGTCAGACTCTTCAGCTTGTTTAGGCCGCTCTCTTTGAGTAGGGGAACTGGGCTGTCTGTCTTTTTGGGCTTTTTGTCCTGAATAAGATCTTTGATACCTTGCAACTTCAGTTCAGATTTTTTATTCTTCTGTTTTGCCTTGGAATTATCACCACCAGAAGACTTCTCTGTTGATTTCGGGGTTGTCAGTTTTGCTGCAGTGCTGTTGAGGTTGTCTGTAGCTGTTGTGTCGTCAGTGTGTGACTCTGATGGTACGTCGCTCTTGTCTGTCTCGTCCTCCGAGGACTCGATCTCCTTTTTTGACTTAGCCTTTTTTTTCTTTCGCTCTTCAACACTTTCCTTTTTTTGTTTTCCTCCATCTTTAGCTTTGCCATCCTTCTTGTGTTTCTTGGCTAAAGCTGGACCATCATCGTCATCGTCATCATCATCGCTTTCAATGGCTCTCTTTTTTGCATCTGGGGTCTTCTCTTTTTTGGGAGGTGGTGGTGTAGAAACACGATCTTCCTCTTCTTCTGACTCAGGAGCAGGCAGTGGTTTGTCCTCCTTCCATTTCTTGTCCTTCTTCTTTTTCTTCTTTTCTTTTACTGACTTTTCATCTTCTGATTCCTCAGCGTGCTTCCTCTTCTTTTTCTTCTTCTTAATAGGTGACTCTTTTGACCTGTCTTTGTCACTGTCACTCTCAGAGTTTGCATCGAACAGGTCACTCTTCATAGGCAGCTTCTGGGAATTAAAAACAACTGCTATTAACCACACACTGGTCACATGGTCTGCAGTGCCTAGCTACTATCACCCCAGCCGACTGGCTGTTAGCATCCCTGGCTATCCTGAACCAACTCGGATATGCCTGGACGCTAGTCCTGACTGAATCTGGCCTTCGCTGTGATCTGTTTCACAGAGCAACACAGTATAATAATGCGACCTCTCTCTTGCCTTTGTGTATTGTCCTATGGTCTGCCAATGCATCTATTAAATGCCCTGATATTGCTGCTAGCTACTCCAGTGTTCCCTGGTTTAGTTTGTCCCTACCCATCTATGGAACCCCCGTTTTAGTCACACAATCCGTCTTACACCGCAACAGAACTGCATAAATATAGTCACTCCTATCGACTTCCCAAAATTAGTGCAATAGTGGCCAGTAGAGCTGGTATTCCCTGTCGACGTTATATTTACTCTGAAGGTACCAACATTTGTTCTTTTTGGACTTGCTCTCGCGTTTCAGTTCACCCTTTTATCCACTCCTCTAACCTCAGTAACCTGCGCTTTCTTGCTCCTGCTCCTTCATGTTCGCTCTCTTTCTAACAAATCTTCTCTGTTTCAAGAACTAGTATTGCCTACTGATTTGCTTTTCTTAACCGAAACATAGCAGCAAGCTGGTGACTACTATGCAATTAACCAAGGTACTCCAGTCAATTTTAATTATGTTTGTAAGACTCGCCCTTCTGGTTGTGGGGTTGGCTTGGCAATAATCAACAACAAATTAAGCATTACTGAACCTAAGTTTTCATCTCCGGTTTCCTACAAATATCTTGTTATCAAACTACTTTCCATCATTAACTGGTCATTATCTTCTGGCCATGTTCCATCGATGTACAAAATTACCGCAGTTACTCCAGTCCTTAAAAACCTGGCCTTGATCAATCTAGCTTTAATAACTTTCTTCCCATCTCAAATCTTCCATTCTTATCGAAAGTTCTTGAGCATGTTGATGCAACCCATCTCAAAGCTTATTTGGAAACAAGTAATCTTCTAGATCCCTTCCAGTCTAGTTTAAAGCAATATCATTGCACTGAAACAGCTCTGGCTAACGTTGTCAATGATCTGCTGGTGACAGCTGATGCTGGTGCCATTAGCATTCTCGTGCTACTCGATTTAAGCACTGCCTTTGACAGTTAACCATTCCGTCCTCCTCTCTAGACTGAGTGAGCTGGGTTGTAGGCTCTGCTCTCGACTGGTCCATTTCCTATCTAACAGATCGTAAACAATTTGTTACTCTCTCTGGGAATCATTCCTCCACTTCCACTGTCACTCAAGGGGTCCCGCAAGGGTCTGTACTTGGACCTTTATATTCATTATTTACATGCTCCCTCTTGGCAAGACTTTCTCATTGGTTCTAAATCTGCTCTCAATAAAACCGGCCCCCTCACTCTTTCAGTTGATTTTCTCGCTCCTGTGGTCCGTAATCTAGGGGTCATCCTTGACTCTTCACTTAAACTCGACTCATGTCAGCTCCCTTGTTAAAACCTCCTTCTTTCACTTGCGCAATACAGCTAAAATCCGACCATCTCTCTCCCAGTCAGCTGCTGAAACTCTTATTCATGCTTTCATTTCTAGCCTTTTAGATTATTGCAATTCTCTTCCTGCAGGCATCAGCTCATCACTTCATAAACTTCAAATGGTTCAAAATTCTGCTGCTCGTCTCCTGACTTACACCCACTCACATCACCACATTATACATATTCTCCAAACCTCCACTGGCTTCCCATAAATTACCGTATTCAGTTTAAGATCCTTCTCCTCACTTACAAACCTCTCAACAATCTTGCTCCTTCCTATCTCTCTGACCTTCTCCAATCCTACAAGCCTATGCCCATTCTTTGTTCTTCTACTACTGGTCTGCTCACCATTCCCTCCTCTAACCTCCATAGCTTTTGTGATCATGCATTTTCCAGAGTAGCTCCGCACCTCTGGAACTCTCTCCCTTCTATATTCAGCAGTCAAATTCTCTGTCCTCAATCAAATCCAACCTTAAAACACTTCTATTCTGTCTTGCATTCAATCTTCCTCTATCCTAAACTATTATAGTTCATGTCAGTTCATCACCTGAGCTGTGATTTTATTATTATTATTCTTATTCTTATTATTATTATTATCATCATCATCATCATCATTACATGATGTAAAAGTCACTCATGGTTTTTCTCTGTTACTCTTAAGATACAGATTAATCTCATGATGGGCATTTTGCTGACTGAACTCAATCTGCTGGGGCTGTCTCACCATGCCGGAGTCTTTCTTAGGTTTTCTTTCAGCCAGGGCCCTCTCATAGGCCAGCAGCACCTCACTACAGTCCTCAAGGTGGGCCTTGGGCTCCCAAGTGTCATCATCCGATGAGTAGTTCTTCCACCGCACACGGTACAGCACTTCTCCCTAAAGGGACCAAAAGACAAGGTCAGTTCACTGACATGCTTACATTTCTTTCCAGCAAACAAATAGCATGTGTGGCACAGGACACAGCAGCTGCAAAAGAGACTGCCAGAATGAACCTGACTTCAGCGCTCTTGATGTGAAAATGTTATCAAAGGGTACTTCAGTGTTGCACTTTTGATTGGCACCATTCATTAGTAGAATTAATACTCAGTGGACAGTTTTTGAGAGGCACAGGTGAATTTCACGGATGCTCATTATTCACCATGTTGCTAAGTAACAGTAACAAATGGAACTGCCTGTCTGCCTGTGTTTCTTGGCAGCACTTAAATAATCACAGACTCTGAACACAATGATCTGCATTCATCTAGATCAGAGCGGGTGGGACTTCTTCCCTGTCCATCACTCTGCTGTTTCCTCTTTCTGCTTATCACTCCAGCCCATGTTCAAAATGGTGATTCAATCTTTGCTTTAATAATACCCTTCATAATCTTCTCCTTGAATATCAAAGGTAGGCCCCAGCATCTGCCGTCAGCTGAAACCAATATAAGCTTACAGATCAGTGCTATGCTTGCTAACAGTGCGCATGCTGTGTTGCGCGTATGCAGACATCACTCTGTCAGAGAGCGCCAAAGTTAAGTACTAAACACAGTCTGTCTATCACACTCAGAGTGACTGAACTGGCTCGCAGCCCATACTGGCTGTCTCCTGTTTCATCACTCGAAACACACAGACACACACACGCAAGTGCAAGAGAAGACTCTGATAGGAAGGTGGCTGTCACATGGGATACCTACTGATTTTCTATCATGACAGGCCTTCCTGAAGGCTTTGCTAAACCAGCACTATCACTGTAACTCACACAGAAGAGTCCATGCGTACTCTTAATCTGTGTCAGCGATTAAGGCCATGTTACGGCACCTGAAATTTCACTACCCACCGAATAAGACGATTCAAGTATACCAATATAAAATCTCTTCTAATCAAATTAAGGGTCTTTGGTAGCATTGTGTCATATATGGTAGAAGTTAGGGTTAAACTATTTGACAAATGTTGAATTGTGATTTTTCTGACCAATGTTGTGACTGTGACTTAAACTGCGATTACTTTCTAGAAATTAAACTGTTTTTGGTCCTGAAAACCAGCATATCCATTTTCTCCAGCCTGAGGCTTGAATGGTGAACACAGCGTGCCAGACTGCCAGTTAGTTGTGGTTGTGTTGGCATGTACACAGCACATGTGTGTTTGGATGATTGTGAATGGTCTAACTCATTTACTGGCAGTTCACAAACTCGGTGTCAAGTTAAATTTCCTCCCTTAAAAATTGTTAATAACGGTGTTGATACTGTAAGCTATAAGAATTGCAGCCCTTTAAATTTGTGATTTCAATTCTAAAACGATTAATCTTGCAGCCCCAGTATAAGTATACCTTGACATGGGCTCGGTGGTGAGATGTCTATGCCTAAAAGACATGTGTAAGTCAGATGTAATCAGTGTAGACAGACAAACATTTGCACTGGCCTCTTGGGCCACTAAGCCAACAATAAGTGTGGCCAAAATTAAGATTTTTTTTTTTTTGGAAGAATTACAGAAACACGTTCATTAAATACATGTTGTGGGGGGTTCATATCCTACAAAACAGGCCCTTGATCTCGTGTGGGATTGTAAAAAGAAGTTATTATTTTATTGTTAAGTGGTGGATATTTATGTATGTGTGAAAATTCAACATGTGAACCCTGGCCACATGGATGTCTCAAATTACTGAAGGAAAAAAGAAAGAAGTCCACAACAAAATGACAAAATGACCACAAATGAGTAATGTGAGATGTTCTGTCAGTTACCTTAAAAAAATGTATTGTAATCCTCCAGAAGTCCAAAATTACATAATAGCAAAAGTAGCCAAACACACACATGCAGACATGCACAGTCATGCATGCCTAGACACAAACTCACAGTCAATGCATGAGAATGGACAGTTGTTAAAAAGACAGTTCACTGACTAGCAGCACTGCTGTAGATAGACTATTGGGTTTTACTGTCACTGTACCTTATCTCTCACAGCACACAGCTCTAAAGCACAAATGCTACTGCGGCAGGAATCGGTGGAGCTGGAGCCCACACATGATAAGAGAGGTAACGCTTTTATCTCCAGCAAAGAGCTTCTTCCTCATTTACACTCCTCTTGCCTCTTGCTTGCACTGTCATTTACTCACTCAAGCATTTGATCTACTCTGACCACATTTTACGCTCTTTCCTCTAGCTGTCTGCCACTCCTCTTCCTTTTCCCTGTTCCTCTTCATATCTCTTACTCCTTTATAGTAAACCTCTTTGATACAGCACCTGTGCATGGCGATCCTCCAGATAGGCACAGGCTAAAACAGTGGACCTCCTACAACACTCATGACATGCTCAGCAGCAGCTCCTAATGCACATGACTTTACGACACCAAGCCTGCACTCTGTTACTAGACAGTAACAGAGACAGACTATAATAATCCGACAGCAATACAAAAGGCAGCTATACATTATCAAACTGTTAACAGCGCAGACTGAATGCACCTGTGCAAGAACAAGGCTGGATTCAAAGGAGCACGCAGACCCACAGCAATCTGTCTGCATTTTAGCACCGCTGTAGTAAACAGAGCACTTCAGGTCTGCACGATGATGTCATCAAGCTGTAATGTAATAGCCCTCTATTCACCTCCCAGGGGCGCCTGCATGAAGCCAGACACAGTTCATAAAGCTCCACAGCAGAAAGAGATTCTGACAGGAGCCGGATCACAACACGCCTACTCAAAACAACGACAGGCTACACCACGAGCTTCTGAAACGGTTTCCACTATTGCAAAGCTCAGTGAAACAGCTCCCTCTTACACAAACAGACCTCCCTGTTTAAGTGCAATTGTGGCTTTTCTTAAGCTAAAATGCTGATTCACTGCTAAGCAGCGCTTAAGAAAAAAGTTTACTCGTCCACTTGGAAATGTTTCGCGCTGATCTCTGATGCATGAGTCCGAGTGGTCTCTGAATGAATCCCACCTGCTGCTGGTTTATCCCTGTGTGCTCCGATCAGCGCTCCTTTCTCATCAGTGATACAGCAGCTAAGGCTGTTCTGCGTGTTTGTCATCGCACATCTCAAACACACGAGGACTGAAAACAAATCTGAGTAAGGGAAGGTGGGCGGCTTATGATCAGGCGGCAGGGAGCACCTACGACGGATACTGCAAAGGTTAACCTCAGAATAACAGCCAATTATTAATCGAAATCCTAAAACTTTTCCTGACAACTTCGCCAGTAAGTGACTGAGGCGCCGGTCGGAGTGGAGACTGCTTGACTGCGGCCTGATTTCTAATGTCAACAGTTCAGTGAAAGCTGGAGGCGCCTGGATAGTTTCCCCCCAGTTAGTTCAGGATAGTTCCTCCCAGTTAGCTCAGATAAAACAACTATTTTTCCAATAGTGTCTATAAATAAAAAAACGGAGTACACTGCATGTTTTAAACTACGTAACCTACGTCCAGCAACAGCGACACAGCTGGCTCCGTAGTAACAGCGCTAGCTTAGCTTGTTCGCTAACCCAGCAGAGACGTGACCCAGCTAGCAGCTAGCCAGCGGCTAACGAGAGGAAAGTTAACCTAGCTAGCTAAGCTAACTTGTTACCCTTTTAGCACGCGTTAGGAGTGCTGTGCATGGGAGAAAGCGGGCTCGCGAGCCTTTTCTCGCCATTTTAACAGCTTGCTCGGCGAACGCACGTGCGGACAGTTCATCCACTTTTGATTTCGAAACGGCTACGTGGCTAACATTAGCTTTGCTAACAAGATGGCATCCCAGCTTGTCTGATACAGATAGCCGACTAGCAACCCCCTCCACCACACTCACATCTTCCACTCGCATGTCAATGATCTTCTCCACTTCGTACACGTCCTCTTCTTCATCTTGCTCGCTGTCACCGGGCTCCGCTCTCTCGGCACCCGAAGCCATCTGTACGTGTACAAGGCGCAAACTTTAGTTTTCTAACTCAGGATAATTTCAAGCATTGCACGAAAGGCCTGGCGCAAGAAAAACTGGTCCGGAGCTGCAGCGGGCTGTTCTGGTTAAGGTGGAGGGAGCGCTGGGCGGGTCACGGTGGGAGGAGAAACGTGTTAGCGCCTCTACACAGAAATCAAAGGTTACACAGGGACGACCCCAGTTCACCCACGCTCGCCCGCCAAGATTAGTCGGACAACAAAGCACAAACTCGTGAATGAAATAGATGTTTGGAAATCCACAAACGCAGCTTACTATTGTTTTTTTAACCTTACCCCCAATTCGTTGTGTATTTTTGTCATGTCCACTCATTGTTGTGTAGGTTACACACAACAGTGCAGGTAGTTAGTTGTCTATATTTGGTCCAGTTTTTCAATAATCCTACTGGATTTCTTCTCATGAATTGGATTACATTTCTGTAAATAATAGGATTGTAGGATTCCATCCTCCCGGAAGAACCTTTTAAAGCCTTGTCTTTTGAACAATTCATTTAGGGCTACTATAAAAAACTGCAGAGATTTTTGTTTACAGCTGGCAGTGCATTACATTTTTTATTAATTTTTATATCAGTGCCATGGACTATACACAAATGGAGTCAGCTGGTCAACATGAACTAAATGGGTATTTTTAATTTAAGGATAGTGAAGGAAACATTGTTACCGATGTCAATTTCAATGTGAAATGACACATACTGAGTGGAGTTGCCTTTAGATCTATAGCGTTACTCTAACCATTATTATATAAATCTGTTAAGAGTCCACACTTTCATAAGAAGTCTTGCACAGATTTCACACAGTGCAGTTTGCTGACTACATAAAGAGCACCACCACTGCATGCACAATAAAATGACAGACCACACATGGTTGCACAAAAACCTTTATAAAAAATCAGTGTTACAAACACACATTGACCACATTTACAGTGCATTTAAAAGACATTATAAATGCACTGATAAAAAGTTACAAAAATATGAAAACTTAAAAGAGTGTCCTGATCACATTTGTGTCATTTGTTGGCGAGCTACTGGAATAAAACACTTCACTATGGTATGTGAATGATATGAAGTATAAAAAAGGAAGAATGAATCATCTTTTATAAAACAAATGTGGCACGTTTGGCAAAATAACTTGTGTACAGAAGTAAAACAGTGTGAAATCATTATAGACATCCTTACTGTCTTACTGCTTAAATACAGAGAACAAGTCTCCACAGCCTTCTGCTTTAACTATGGGTTGAATGGGTTGAACTATGGATTATGTGAAAGAGCTTGTACACATGAAAAGGTTCCCTAATGCCTCTTAAGTGTGACAAGGAAAGGTTAGCAAGAACAGCAGCTCTTTTACCAAATCCACTATAGCCTCTGAAGTCTTCTGGCATAGTGTTTCCTAGCTCCATTCCTTTAGTCCACCTGCTCTACAGTTTTATGTTTTCTCTGCATCCGAGTCTGATTCAGAAAGTCCTTCTTGAGCTGAATCAGAGCAGATACAACATGAAGCTGTGCATTGCTTGTGGGCCTCTAGACCCGGAGGTATGAAACACTATTCTATCATACTGTGCACATGTGACTTTTGTCCAGGTGGAGGACAGCGTAAATGCTAAAACCAGATGCATAGAAAACTGAATGACTTTTGAGTTCCCGTTGGCTGGTAAATCTGATTGTAGGGCAATGTCCAGGTTACAGCATGTAGTACAGTAGAATCCTGAAACACCATGTCAAGGCAGTGGCTGAGCGTGAAACTTAAGACAAATTGGCACTGATCCGTATCCACTGCAGTCCCTGTCTGGTGTACTGGACTATATGGGCCATACTGCTGTGTAGAGTCAATGGTCCAGTCAGTGTGTTCAAGTAGTTAAAGAACTCTAGTTAGAAAGAGAGCGAGAGAGAGACAGATAGAGAGAGAGAGATGTACATTGTTCAGTTGAAATTTAACATTTTTGAGCATACTAAGCGCATCATTGTATAGTGGTGTTGTACAAATATAATGAAAATACTAAGGTTATGTTATTTTCAAGCATTTACTATTCTGTGAACAAAGGTGGCACACAAGAAAAGAGTCAAAGAACTAAGAACCAAACACATAAGGCCATGATAGACTAGTCCAACATCTGCCAACAATCAATGGCATTCTAATGCTGGCAGTCAGCTTTATAGTACTTCAGAATAAGAACTGATAAGCCAAACGAACCAGAGTGAAAGGGACATACTAAAACAGTGTGAATGTGAATGCAGGGAGAACCCTCTAAAACATTGGGAATGGAGAGGACATTGTGAAATGCTGTGAATGTGGAGAAAACACTCTAGAACAGTGGGAATGGGGAGAACATTCTAGAACAGAAAGCACGTGGGGAGAACAATCTAGAACAGCGTGTACATGGTAGAACATTCTAGAACATCTAAATGTTAAGAGCATTTTAGAACAGTGTGAAAGGTAGAGAACACTCTAGAACAGTGTGAAAGAAAGAGAACATTTTAGAACAGAGTGCATGTGGCAAGAACATTCTAGAACATTGTGACAGGGGTAGAACATTCCAGAATACTGAATAGGGAGAACATTTTATAACAGTGTGACAGGAAGAGAACATTCAACAACATAGTGCATATGGAAAGAACATTCTGGAAAAACGAGAAAAGAGAGGAACATTAAAGAACAGGGAAAGTGAGAGAACATTTTAGAACAGTGTGAAAGCAGAGAACAGTGAAGAACAATGTGAACTGCAGATAACACTGAAGAATAGTGTGAATGAGGGGAGAACATCACACCAACGCAGTGTGTTTAATGTTTGTTGAAGAACACTGGGTTAGTGTACTCTGGCCTTTGGAGAGACCCCGAACACTGCGGTTTTACTGACCTTTGTTTTCCCTGGCCAAGGAGTCAGCCAACTCCCAGTACTCATAACTGTACAGCACACTGTTGGTGATATTGAGGTGGTTTGCTGCCATCTGGTGGATGCGATTGGGAATATTAATAAAAAGGGAGGTGGGAGAGCCGCCAAGGTGGGACCCTATGAAACCAACAGGGGATATGCAAGTAGGAGGTACATTTCCCCTAGAGAAACACACACATACACAGTGAATTTAGCATCAGCTTGATCTTTTATACAAGCACTTATTCAGTGTCTGAATATAATTAAGCTTTACTTTGTGGTATTGTTCCAGGAAGGCGCTGTGTGAGGCACTTTTGGGGAACTCTGCAAGAACATTCAAGCAAATATAAGTAAAATGTAAACAAAATAGTGGGCTTCTGTGTTTTGAATCATACTCTGCGCAACTGAGGTGATGACTGGTAGAGCAGCAAATTCAAACAAATATCTCTCTTCAGTGACACTTCACCAACTTTCATAAAGTGTGGCTGTCATTACTGTTTATCATTTTTGTGATTAATCGAGTCGCTAAGATTTTAAAAAGGCCGAACAATTAAATGGACTTAACTGAACAGTAACAAATCATGTGTAGCATTTCAAACATTCCAAAATATATTACGGAAAAAGGCTAAACAAGGAAGCCTCTAAAACGACTGCATTAAAAATATACAGACACTTAGAGACTATGCTGAAGACTGATATAAATGGGTGTGTCCATTAGGCTCTGTTTCACACCGTGATTAACTTTAAGAAATGCCAATCTAATTTACACAATTTTCCACTTACCCTGATTCAGTTTATTAGCCAAGGCATATTTGGTGTTCAAATTGTATTTCTTTGGCTTAGCAATGGAGCTATGGGGCTAATGTTGTTAAACAACACTACAAATAAAGTGTCACCCAAATCTTTTCTGTAAAATATATCCTCAAAACCTCTCTCAACCCACTCAAACCACACCCAAGTCTTCAGTATGACTTACTGTGAGCTATAAAAATGAACAAATCTTCACTGTGTAGATGGACACAATGGGCAACCACTTGAAAGTGGTTGATGTTGAAAGTGGCTGCAAACAGCATTCAGCTAAAGTGTAAAGTTTTATTTATTTTTATAGCTCAAAGTAAGTCATAATTTTCCTAAACTACATTGACAAGTCTTAGCGACCTTAATAAAGACAGCATGTAGCACAGTAGAATCCTCCAGTTTAAAACTAAAGAAGCTACATTTAGACACCAAATGTGTCTCAGCTGATTGACTAAATCTGGGGTAAGCAAAAAAATGTAAATTAGATTGTTTGCCAAACCAGTCCTGTAAAATGTTGTCGCTGTTGTGCATAAACCTTGTTTTATGATGAACAGACCAATTAAAATGGTCCAAAATTTAAAAAAATGGAAAACATGTTTTGGTTACATTAACTTCCATTACATGTTAATAATGTTTTTCCTTCTCTTTTAAAGTTATCATTTTCAAAATACAAGGTTTTGCTCCAACAGTGACATGAGTTATCAGCATATAAATTGACTAATCATTGCCAATTTTATTAGAGAAAATACGTTTTAATCAGTGATTTCCTAAAACATTTAGTAATCAATTCTTATCAAGCAATTGTGACAGCTCTATGTGTTACATTTCATGAATGTTTCTTCTAGCTTTGAATGTTTCCAGATGTAAGGACATACCTTGAAGTAGTCCTGCAGGGCTTTGGAGTATTTCAGAGCGTTGTCTTTTTTCAGTCTGAACATTTGCCAATACAGAAGAGCAAGACAACGGAAACTATAGTGCAAAGACACAAAGACATTCATTGCTTTTAATCATGTCTACAGTGCAGACGTTTTGTAACCAGTTCTTCATTTATTCACAAGCATGCCCTGAGTAGCTCATTAAGTTAAGGTGTTGCTTCCAGGGAAGACAGCACATCAATGGATCCTAAGGCTGAGCAGATATCACAGATAGATGGTGCTGTTGTGCAACTGATTAACCCTAACTACTAGTTTCAAAAAGGTTTTCTAATGAATATTCTGCTAAGTACACTCAGATGGTTACAGAGTGATATTTACCAAAGCACAGCAAGCTGCTGGTCCTCCTGCCTGGCTCCAGAACCTGTGTGACTCTTTAGCCTCATGGCGTATCTGTCAAAAACACAGAATAGGCCTATATCAGCAAGAAATTAGTGCCTGCACTACAGCGTGTACTATATGTGTGTGTGCTGGGGGGAAACGGCTTTAAAATAAACAGAAGAAAGGGAAAAAAGATAAAGATGGGGGATATAGGAGCACAATGAAAGAGAAAGAACACATAAGCACCTTATCAGCTCCACAGTTTCTGCATACATGGCATAAGGGGACTTGGCCTCCAGAGGTCCTTCCTCCATGGCTTTGCCACACTCCATAAAGGACAGAGCAGCATCCACATAATTCACAGCTTTCCCTAGTTTATCCACCTGAGAGCAAGCAGGGAAAGCACGGGCATACGCAGGTAAAAGCTCTGAATGGAATGAAGATGCATTGTTTAAAGAAACAGTGTGGTGTCACATGGTTAATTGGAAAGCATTCTCTTTAGATTGCTTACTTATCTTCTTAGCAAAAGGGGTTCTATATAGTACCAAAAAAGATTCTATGACTTGTAACAACACACATTTATTACACATAAGTTCTTTAGTAAAGAAAATCATTCTATATGGAACCATGAACACTCAAAGAACCCTTTGCATGATTAAAGGGTTCTTTGCAGCATTAAATGGTTCTTCAGATTGGGGGAGAATGTGCCGTAGATGCTTCTGTACAGAACTTTTTTGAAAAGGGTTCTATACAGCTGTCAAAGCCTGTAAAAATAGAAGAACCCTTTTTGGTGCTATATAGAGCCCTTTTCAATAAGGTTCTATTTAGAACCATACAAAACACATTCTCCAATAATCTGAACTCTTTCATGATGCAAAGAACCCTTTAGTCATGCAAAAGGTTCTATAAGTGTCCGTGGTTCTATATAGAACCATTTCCTTTACTAACTAAACTTAAAAAACATTTTTTCCGAACTGCAAATAACTATGTAAGCATTCAGATGGATCTTTTAATTGTCATGGTTTTATATAAAACCGCTGCATTTACTAAAAAAGACTTTAATGAAGTGTAGGCATGTCTTAATCTTTAAAAGTACCCCAACAGCAATAAAAAGTTCATGCTACCGTTCAAAAGTTTGGAATCCATGTTTTCAATCATTTAAAACCAATTTGGTTGCAGATAAATGTATAAAATAAGACTCATCCAGTGCAACTTCACTGGTTTCAAACTATTAAAAGGAAACTAGGAAGCTGTGAATAAAAATAAAGAAATTTTAGATGTGCGCAGAATGATGAATGGTGCCATAGGATATTATAGAAGGACTAAGTAAAAATAAAAACAGTCATATTTTTAGTTATAGTGGCAATAAAATATCATAAAAATTGGTGTAAATAAATTATTATAGTATATTAACATTAATTAGTGTTGTCACTTCTTGTTTACAAAATTCTTAAAATATTAAATAGTCTCATGTTGTATACATTTTTGAAATTGTGCATGAAAAAAACTAAATTATTAAAATGGCAAGTGATCCCAAGCTTTTGAACAGTAGTATTGTTATCACAGTGTCTGTGTTAGCACTGCTGACATACCATAGCATCTGCTCGATGTTTCAGTCTTTTCGCCTCGTGCATGTAGTATTCAGCATGGTGTGAACTGAAGTAAGAAAGGGTGGAAACTGTGAGGGAGCTTTTACGGGACATGAAAGGCATTTTCTAGGTCCTGATATAGATATTTGCATGAATACAACAGTTAACTCACACATCAGTGTAAGGCACGGTTCCTCTGTAGTATGCTGGCTGTTTGGTAGATGGAACCCAGGACCCAGAGGGAGGCTTAGTGTTTCCTGATGCTCCAGCACACTCTGCCTCTATCTTAGGTTGAGTTCTCTGTATCTATTATAGGTGAGGGTGGACATTGTGATAAAAACATGAAATCACAACACACGATTTAATATAAATAAAATAAGGACATTCTAGTCAGACAGTCAATCAGCTACTTGTTACATACACTGTATGCTGTAAAATGGCTGTTGTTGTGAACAGTCTCTCTATAATTAACCTAAATATGTCTTATCTATGATACATGCTGCTATACAATATCCAGGATACACTTAAAGAAGTATAATATGAAGTAATTTACAGCAAGAACAATATTAATACTGCCATAATGCCAACCCATAATTACAGGTTACCTTGTAGTTGCATTTATGAAAGTTAAGATTTTAACTTTTTCTTAATGGAAAAATGATTTACATTTCTAAAATACCACAAGAGCTATGAAACACCTCTAAAATGGGCATAACACCACTTCAGAGGGTGTACAGCTATGGAGTCAGTAAAACCCTAAAACCTCAAACTAATGAAATGAAGCCTTAGTGGAGAGTATGGTTATTACACCAAAAGTGAGAGACAACTGAGGCATGGCCTACTATGTCTGTCTTTTAGTCTGTGATAACATTTATTGTTTCTGCTAAAGCTGTTCTGTCCTATTTTCCGAGCGCACAGATGTTTCTGTGTTTCCTTTGTGGTAGTGTGCAATGTAACTGCATAGAGTGCTTTGTGTACCTGTGTTTTTTTCACTGCAGAGTCTCTGTCTTTCTGTGGGTGTGGGTGCTGCTGGTCTGAATGATGCATCTTCACGGCAGATGGAGGAGAGAGTGGCGACAGTGGTCTCTTGGTGTAAAAATAGTCCTCATGATGTCTGAATATAAAGTAACCAAAAACAAGAATTGCTCATCATGATAGAACTGTACATTGAATGTCCAAAAGTTTGTAGACACCTGCTCATCCAGCATTTCCTCTGAAATCAAGGGTACTGACAAGGAATTTGTCCTCCTTTTGCTGCAATAACAGCCTCTACTCTTCTAGGAAGGCTTTACACTAGATGTTGGCTCATTGCTGTGAGGATTTGATTGCATTCATAAGTGAGGTCAGTTTCTGATGTTGGATGCTTGGTTCTGGATCACAAACACCACTTCGACTCATCCCTAAGGTAGTCGATGGTGCTCAATTTCTAAAGAGAACGCAGTTACATACTCTTAGAAATAAAGGTGTCAAAAAGGTTTCTTTGCATGATGCCACAGAAGAACCACTTTTCATTCAGTGGATGTTTTTTATAAAAAATGAAATGTGTAACTGTGAAGAACTGATTTAAAGTTTAAAGAACCTCCACATAATGTAACGATTCAAAGAAGAATCCATAAATCAATGAAGAACCTTTACTTTTTATGTGAAGGATTTTTAAACCCTTAAAATGTTTAGACATGGATCTTTATGCAACTAAAAGCGATTCTTCTATGGCATCATAGAAGCCCATAAGAGCCCATAAAATACAATTGCCACAACTGCAGTAACTCTGCTCAAAATCTACAGATAACCAGTCAATGAATGAACACATGAACACATTATTATCTTTCATGAACAGAAACTTCCTAAATACACCATATTCTGTTATGCTTGCAGCTTAATTGTAAATCAGAACTAATATGATTTAGGAATTTTGATAAACACAGGTGCATCTGACAGAAAATGTTAAATAATGGAAAAATGTTTCAAATTGAGACACATGAGGTGGTAGGTAAATATCCAGGCCACGCATTTACAGTTCAAACAATCAATGTTTATAAACCATAAAGTGCAAATAATCAGTAAGACACTTTTACTTTTACTGCCACGAATTAAATATACATGTGATCCATGTAAAAAAAAACATATACTAGCATACAATACTATTTTAAAGCTTGGAATCACTTGTCATATTAACATTTATGCTATTTTATATGCAATAAAAATTACAGAATGTGGAAAAACATAAATAACATACAAATATTTTTAGATGTCTTATTTAATATTTCAAGAATTCTGTGAACAAGAAATAAATAAAACTATAAATACTGTCTTGTAATTATTTACACACATTATTTGTTCAGGTTTTCTGCTTTGAGATTTGATCTTCATTTTTGAAATATGGTGAATTCTGAATATTAACTTTATTATAATATCTTTCTCGATACTATACAACTTTCTCAGTCATTTTAGAATCCCAATTATCAACTGGCACTTAGTACAAATTTGTTTACAATAAAAGAGTTTTGTTCAGTGTTAATGTCTTGTCTTTTCACTAATCCTTTGGCAGAAATACTGGAACTGAAAATAGTAAATGAGGGTTTGTGTTCAAACATACTCATTCTGTTTGTTGCTGGAGTGGCTTTCTTTATTGTCACTGCTGGCTGAGTGTGAGGGAGGTGGGAGCTTTTCTGTGTGAAAATGGCTTCTCTTGCTCTCTCTTTGAGTCTCTCCATTCTCAGCCTGATTGAACACAAAAACACACACTTTAGAGAGCCAGTAGAGGCAAATTCTGTGCAAAACCTCTTTTTATTCTTATGTTCTCACCTTCCGTTTACTCCTTGCGTCTCCAGGCTCTTGCTCTTGGTGGTACTGATGTTTCATGGAAGGCTTTTCTTTAGTTTTAGCTGACAGTGAAGAAGAGGATGAAGATGAAGACCGTCTCTGTGAGACCTCGCTTGCACTTGGAACTCTGGCTAGAAGAGAGAGGTCTATCTTCACCACCAGGTTCCTCAGTCCTCGGTGGGAGACAGCAGTAGACTTCTCGGTGCGGCCAAAAGGCACCAGGGTGTAGAGTTTGTGTTTACCTCGACGCTGTTGCCCTTCGTCTGGAGATGTTACATCTGACCTGGAGGGTTGTGTTACTCCAGACCTCGGCTCTGTGGGTCTCCCATGTTGTCTCTGCTTTTCTGCTGGCCGCTGGCTGGATGTAGAGTCTGCGGGGACTTTGGCAACGTTCAGGGGCCGACTGGGCTCCGAGTCCGATTCTGAAGAAGATGATGAAGAAGAAGAAGAGGAGGAAGAAGAGGATGAAGAGGAAGGAGATGGCCTTATGGGACAGACGACAGGAGTGGGAGAGGGTGGAGAGAGTGGAGGAGAAGGGTTGGAGTCTATCACTCCAGCGTGGGAGGATTCCTCACTGCTCCTCCTTTTCTTTTTCCTCCTCTGCTCCTCACGCTCTGGTCCGCTGCGTTCGCTTCGTGTATGATGCTGGCTGTTGGTGTGGGGTCTCTGCTTGGGCTGTACTGCCTGCCATTCAGTGTTTGGCTCCTTCCTCCTCCTCCTCTTCCTCTCCCTCTCTTCTCCCTCTCTCCTCCTTCTTCTCTCCTCTTCCTCGTCCTCTTCTTCAGAGCTGCGGACCCAGCGGCGCCTGATCAGCTGCTCCTCCGCCAGCCTCCCCTGTTTCTGAGCTTCTGCAGCCTGGACCAGGGGTCCTCCCTGTGCCTTCCTACGGCTATGACCCTCCTGCTCTCTTTCTCTAGGCTTCTGCTCAGACGGCCTGTTGCTGGGTACCTCCCTGGATTTTGCTTTGGGTTTCGAGCTGGGGCTGAGTCTAGAGCTAGGCTTTGAAATTGGCCTAGATGAAGTCTGTGGGTCAGGCTGAGGTGGAGGTCTAGAGCCAGAACTGTGGAAGGAGCCACTGCTTGATTCAGTGGGGGCTAAGTGCTTGGATTTGGACGTGGGGCTGTGCTTTGGTTTGGAGTTTAAACTCTGGTTAAATTTGCTCCTAGGATCACCTGGCCTGTGGTTTCCCTCAGTGCTGGGGTTAGTGAAAGACAAATGCCTGGGTTTTGCTTTAGGGCTGAGGTTTGGTTTGGATCTGGACTGAGACTGATGGTGAGGACTTGATCCAGTGGGACTGGACCTGGATTTGGACCTTGAGTCAACGCTCTGGGCTTTGGGCCTGCGTGGAGTCTCTTTGTGTTTAGAATGATGTTGCGAGAGGCCAGGTGGTCTAGAGTCTTTGAGTCGAGAGTCATTAATACGTTCAGTGTTTTGGTTTGGAGGCACCCATGGCCTTACTTTAGGCTGACGCACAGGACTGGAGGTAAGCTTTGGTTGTGTAGGACGCCTGGGGCTTTCCTGGTGGTGAGCAGAAACCTGAGGATAAGAAGTGAGTCTTGGAGAAGCAGAAGCAGGGACAAGGCTAGGGCTAGGGCTTTTGGGTGGATGGAGGGGTAAAGGACTTGGGGTTCGGCTTACTCTTAGGCTGGCACCTGGGCTGGGGCAAACACTTGGCACTGGGCTTGGCACAGGGCTAATTCCTGGGCTTGGATAAGGGCTATATGCAGGACTAGACGGAGGACTATGCCTGGGGCTGTAGTCAAACCTAGGGCTAGGAACAGGGCTGTGGCTTGGGCTGTGGTCCCGTCTCGTCACAAGGCTGGAATCTCTCTCCCAGTATCGTCCCGGAGATGGTCCTCGGCCAGAGTCAAAAGTCACACTAGAGTTCTGACCTCCTCCTGGGTCATGATCCACTGATTGTTGGTTCCTACGAACAAGCCACTTGTCCAGCTGCCAGTGCGTGAAGGATGGGTCCTGGTAGTGGAGAGGCTAAGTGAGTGAACACAGATGTCCAATTTTAAGATTAGAGCATATATTATGGTTTCTTATCATACTGTTACATTAGTTACATGTAATATGTTGAATTCACTCAACTACTTTTAAGAGAAGTGATAAGGATAGCACAGCACTTCCATGCTTCAATCCAGAATTGTTTTAACTGATACTTAAAGTTTTAGTTCAGCGGTCACCAACCCTGCTCCTGGAAATCTCCCTTTCCACCATACCTGCTCCAGATAAATAATTTTTCAATGCCTTGATTGGCTGGATTGGATGCAATAGTGTTTGTATGTGGAAGGGCATGTTAGATGTAGGAACTACAATGTGCAGGAAAGTAGATTTTTAGGATAAAGTTTGGTGAAAATTGATTTAGTAGCAAAGATACGAAACATAAGAAAAGAGAAATTTGTCAAAGGTTGAGAAAACTGGAGCATCCATACTATTGTTCGATTGTATAGTTTAAAATGGCACCACAGACTATTATGACATTAAACACTTCTCAAACACTTGAGACAATCATGAAGCTAATTCAAAATCTGGAACAAGAACTTTATTTTATATTGATTAAAAAGTACAATTTTTTTATACTCTGTAAAATATCTGTAAAATAAAAACAAAATCTGTTAACAGTAAAAGTATGTTTTGGTAATAATGGTACAAATCTGTAAAACTGGAGTCATTTAATTTGCTAGAAATACTGCCTTTTACTATCATTCATCAGTTTCACTAGTTCAACTAGTTGTTCTGACATACAGTATTTTACAGTAGTAATAACAGTATCACTTATTAAAATAAATGTTTGTGAAATAAAAGTGGTAATTTGTTTTTGTGTATTTACATTCTTTTTGTGTAAATTAGCAATAGCAGTGTTCAAATGCAGTATATGTGTGGTTCATTTACACACACTTAACCTTTTTTTCAAAAAACAGGAATTGACCATTACATTTTACAATACTTTGAGAGTAAAAATATCTTTCTTTTTTTACAATATAGGCTAGACGTTTTGTGACCTACACTGAGAGTAAAAAAATTAGGAAGAATGTGGGTGAGTGGACTAAAATGAGACTATTGACAAAACAGCATGGGCTTTAGAGAGGCTGACTGAAAGAGAGCAAAATGGACCTGAGTTTGAACAGATAAGATTAAGATTGAAAGAGACAAGAGGGAATTGAGTAAACAGTTGGTGTGGGACAGAGAGAGAGAGAGAGAGAGAGAGAGAGAGAGAGAGAGAGAGAGAGAGAGAGAGAGAGGGGGGAGAGAATCTGGGGAATCCACCTTGACATAAACATCACTCACCCACCCCTTTCATCACCCTCTTTAAGTAACACATCAAAACAAGGCCTTTACACTAATACAACAGCATTCATCATACAAGATTCCATACGCCAATTTTCCAAATCTAAACCTATTGTTCACAGGCTCTACTAAGTTAATGATTCAAAATTTTACACATTTCTACACAAATTTTAACATCTGAACTAAATGAAGATAATGGGAGAATACTCACTTGCAGGCATATATAGGAATGAGGGCAGTCTACTTTTCCCTGCTTTCTCTCTGCTAGCTGACCAGTGCTAATTTAAACCTCCACTCCTCTACTCAAACATCCCCCCCTTCCCCATCCCTCTCTCTTTCCAGAGAAGACACTGCATCTCTTGTGCCCTCTCTCTCTCCCTCCCCTCCTCTCCCTCTCTCCCACCCCTCCACTCCAACACCCCTCTCCCCACCACATCTCTACCTGGAACTGTGCACTCTTTCCAAGCTTTCCTCCTCAGAGACACTTCCACGGCTGCACATAGATGAAAAACACATGGTGCTCCCTCCTCCCCACTCCACAGGCTGCCTTATACTGCATGTTCAGTAGTAAAGCCAGCTATGTCACACAGGCACCTTCATTCATACAGTACTGCGGGTCTCCGCCAGCGGAGCATGCGAAAGCCAAGCCTCCTGCCTTCCCCCACTTTCTCTGACAATTACACTCCCCTCCTCCTTAAATAAAGACCTATTCCACTCAAAAGCACTACACGTCAGCTTAAAGTGAGATGAAAACAAATCTACTGTGTATTGGGATGGGTGATATGGCCAAAATATAATATCCTAATAACTGAAGTCATTTGTGTGATTCTTGAAATGTGTCACAATATTAAATTTTTTCTGAACAAACACAATGCACGGCAAAACATTCATTCATTCATTCATTCATTCATTCATCTTCTAAGCCACCTATCCTCCTGGGGGTGCTGAAGGCCTATCCCAGTGGTCAATGGGCATAAGGCAGGAAACACACTGGATAGGCAGCCAGTCCATCGCAGGGCAGATAGCAGTAATGTTGCATTTCAAAACAAAGTGAGCTGATTTTTAAGTTGTCTTATTTGACTTATTTTTTACATTTATTTTATCATATAACACTGTGCTTCAAAAAAAAAAAACATAAAAGTATACATTTTTCTGATTATTATTTTTATACTTCGTTTGAGCAGAGTGGCTGTTCCTTACATTGTGTGGAAATTTGACGGTGAATGGACCAATAGAAATGCTCCAAAATTGCTTGGGATTAAATATCTTTACATTAACTGACTTTAAATATGAAGAAGGTTCTTTCTTCATATGTGGAATGACATTGTTGGGATTCAAACTCATGAACTCCTGACAACAAAGCGCCAGTGTTCTTTAAGTACTGATGACATGTTCAGAAAAGCTCAAAGAAATAATTATCATAATAATGATATCATATTGTGATATTGGCCTCCCTACACTGTGCATAGATTTTATTCAAGTCATTTAGATTTATAGTAAACAACTGCTGGAGATTCAGAAATTTCAGTAAGTTTGATCTTGAAGAGACCACCACATATTCTGTTTATTGGACCACTACTGCTTCCTATCAATTTGGTCCACAGGGAGTCCGCATGTTGAGGTGACACTGAAACTCTAAATTCTCAGTGGCCTGCAGACCCCCCCCCCTTCACACGCATTCCTAATCCCCCACACACTCCTCCTCCCAGTGCTTCCTCCTCCACTCTCCACCAAACCGCTACACCTCCTATTCAACAACAACCACCAGGAGTTTCCCCAACAATCAAGGGAAAGCAGAGAGAGACATGATGAACAGTGGAGAAACTGAAGTGCAAAGGTGAAGATGTACCTCTTTGCTGCAGAAGCTGGGCTGTGCCTGGCTGGCTGCCCCAGGCTGGGAGTGCGTCCGTGGACTCGGGCTGAGCGACCGCTGGCTACTGCTCTCTGACTCGCTAGAGGAATCAGATCCTGAGGAGCCCGAGCTGGAATGTCTCGCCCTCCCGCCATGTGTGTGTGTGCGCTGCCCCGACAGGCTGTCAGTTAATGTCCGCACACACACACACACACACACGCACAGACACACACACACACACACACACACACACACACACACACACACATACACATACATAAATACATATACACACATCAGTTATGGATCAACACAAGGACACATGCACATGAGTTTCATGTGTACATATAAGTAAGATACATGTACACAGACAAATGAAACATATTAACCAGATAGAACAGGATAAAAAAATAATAAACCTTGAAGGATGGAAAAATATCAAAACCTACACTATAAAAAAGGTTTGTCAGTTCAACCTAAAAACATCCATATCATAGCCAAATATTCCTTGCTTCCTTGAAGTAAAAGAGTTTAATGTAGTATGTAAACACTTTTGAAGTTTTAAAATGTCTTATTCCTTACACTCCATCTATGGAAACAGTCCGTTTTGAACTTACTGGTTTTGTGATTTCATGAAAAGCAATACATTTATATAACCATGCAACATTGTATATGCTGCTCTTTGGAGGGAACAAAAGTTTACACACAGGCAACAGGCCTAAACTGGATTCAGAAGACTACTGAACTAAGCTCACATGGGTTGCACTGCTGGCACGATAGTCTGCACCAACACTGGTTATTTGGGGATTCTATGGGGAAGTTTCTGCACCCTCAGCTGAGCTTTGGGGTAAACACATTTAGGCAGTCTAACATGTACCTGAGACCAGTGCTGTAGTTTCAGATAACTTTTTAGGCATGTAAAATGGCTTCAGTACACTCTTTATAAAAGTTCTAAAGAGTTCTTTAGCAAGGAAAATTGTTCTATTAAAACCCATGAGTTTTATATAGAACCATCTCATGCTTAAATGGTTCTTTGCATGGTGAAATGTTCTTTAGACTGATGGAGTATATGTTGCATATGGTTCTATATAGAACATCTTTGAAAAATGTTCTATATAGCAAAAAAAGGGTTCTTCTGTTGTTACACGCACATTCTCCATCAATATGAAGAACCATATCATCAAGCAAAGAACCAATTCCTTTACTAAATATCTTTAGAACCTTTTTAAGAGTGTACTATATTGTGTAGTCTTACTGTAGTGTATTATGAAGACTACATAATGCTTACAGCTATGATAAAGTATATAGTGAAAGCATTAACAGTAACACTTTCTGTGAATGTCATGTCTATGAAAAACTATGAATACATTTGTGACACATTATAATTTATTCATATGACATTCTAAATTGTTAACGTAAGTTGTTCTAAGTAGTATTCATAACATGTTATGTTGTGAAAACTCAGTCCCAACTTGCAGAGTGCATTCTAATAAACCTGACTAGTCATAATTGTCTCTTAAATATTAGCAATGAATTTACCTCCCAGTAGGTGTTCTTATTTTTTTAGTTTTAGCTAAAGTACTACTTTACTTTGCTACTTGGATTGTAAATTTCCTTTACTCTATATGTAAATAGATTGGAGTAATATGTCATATGCAACGGTTTAAAGCAACCCCCAATCAAATTACATGTTTGTTGAATTTCTAAGTGAAAGTGAAACTCCTCAGTTAAAACTGAATTTTCCTCATTTGTTTTTTAAATAAAATTGATGTAGCATGTAAAAATTATTAAATTTAAACATGTGCCATTCACTCCCCAGTCCATGCAGTCCATATATGGAAATCAAGTGGTAAAAACAGCCTGTTTTAATTCCACTGCTTTCATGATGTCACTAAAACTAACGTGTTTACATATATCCACCGATTCAGCCTGCAGCAAGAGCTAGGAGTGTTTCAGCCCACACTGCTTTTTGAATCAAGCAGAATACAGGGCAACCAATCAGAAGAGTTGTCATATATAGTTACATATATCAGTCTTAAAGGCAGAGTAACTAAAACAGCCTGTTTAATTCACATTAAAGTGATAAACAGAGGCTAGAAAACGGTCATGTAAAAATAAAACCACACAAGTGTGGACCTCAGGGAAAATAAATACATGGAAAAAAAGTAGAATATGGGCTTTTAAGCCCATCTTCTACAGGGAACAAACTTAAATATGGCATTTTTCTGAAAATTATGCTGCACAATTTCTAATTATTTGCTAAATTTAACAAATTGGAAACATTTAAACATAAAATATAAAATGTACCACAACTTTTGCACAGACCACATTTTAGGTTATAAGTTTTTCCATGGGACATTCAACAAATAGCAGGTAATTGTGAATTTTCTTTATCTATAAGAACAAGTATAATACTTTATTATAACTACTTTATTATACTTTAGCACATTACAATACATTAAAATGACAAAAACTAATATTCAATTTCAGATAAATAAAATTCATAAATTGTTAAAAGAAATTAAGGCATGGCTCAGCATGACTAGGCAGGTTATTCACAATACACTATGCAAGTTGGGAGTTTTTTCGGCACTGACAATATAATGGATTATGAATACTAATAAATCATTATGTTAACAATCCATAATGCATAACAAACACGTGTATAAAGTGTAATGCATTTTAATGGACGTTTACAGTCATTACAGCCTTTGCTCCTTATGAATACACTATGATGTTATAAATATGTTTGTGGTTTCTTATTGTCATGATAGTCATGGCATACATAGAAAGTGTTACAACATTAACATCTCTGTCACACATACACTGTTCACTCTCACATGCTAACTATAAGATGGCATATGTAGTCTTACAGACACACAGGAGCAGCATGTTTGTTTATTAATCCAGTACAATATTAACATACACATGCACAAACATGCATACTTACTTGTGATGATCAGCCCAGGATGCCAGCTGATGCCCCTTTTGAGAAGATAAAAACAAATAACTGAGTTTTAAAGGTTTTCAACCAGATGTCCATCACAAGCAACACACAGTCAGACGTACACTGAACGCAGCAGCACAACAACTTCAGATATACTGGTACAGAAAGGTCATGAGCTCAGAGAATAATACAGCTGTGACTCAACCTGCTATGACTCATAAACAAGAAGCCCGACAGCGAGCTAAAGACACTCATATACATACGTAAAAAAGCCCACACACGTTCACGAAGAGCTGATTTTCTTTGTACTGCCTCAACAGTCTGACTCAACTATTAGACTCGAATAATTACCTCAAGATGTCCAGTTCACACACACATATACACACACCCATGGAATGAACATTACACAGCCCAGAAGAGGAGAGTTAATAGCTCTGCTTTAAAACTAATCAGCCACGTTGTTATAGACTGAGAAGGACTTTTAATGAAAGATGAGAGGAAGTCGTGTACATGCTCTCCAAGAACTAGGTCAAGGCTGAGAGGTGAACACGTGTGTATGAAAGCACATTTGAGGCTGGTCATATGCATGTCTGCACAAAGGATGCCGTTTATGTCTCACAGACAGTCCATAGAATTCCTGCAGCTGAACTCCTATTGACCTCACGCAGGCCGAAGGGAGGCACTCTGTGTTCACACAGTCACACACGCACACACTCCCCACTTGTGGGCATGTGAGCAAGATCAACTGAAGCCTGAGCAATCACAAATAAACATGCACAAACAGCAGGACAGAAGAGGTGGGTGACCACCAAGGTGGCAATACTTGATATGGGTGAAATGACACACAGATCTTTTTTGACCGGTTTTTATTAGAGTTTTTTTTTTATTCGAACCTCACACTATGTGGGGAAAATGAACATGTGGAACACCCTAGCACATTTCCAGCACCTTCTATTAGCCAAAGTACACAACATTACTTGCTCACATTTGCTCAAAATATTTACGTCATAAAATTGCAACACAGACCTGACGAAATAAAAACAATAAATTGGCCGACTGCCAGTTGCATGCCACGCCACCCTCTAACAAAACAAACCCCCAAAATCACAACCCTTAGAATTCATAAGCTCCTTAGAACCAAAGCCCATACATTTGAGTCTGTGTGTTTCCATTGCATAAGCCCCGTCCTCTCTGCTTACTACACTCTGATAGGATGAACCCAGATGCCTAATTTTGATCATCAGTTTATGCCACGAAAGACAGTAAATGAGAGAAGAGAAGCCTTAAGAGTCTCCTAGGAAGCCTTGGATGAGAAGCCTTAAGAGTGTTAATACTTGGCTACTTGAATTCTGTTTGTATGGAATCATGGAGGACTTCATAGGCCCTTTATGAAAATGTAATTTCTATATTTAAAACCTACATAATGTACATAATTTCTCTCTCTCATTAGTGAGTCTAGTATCTGAACTACTGATCCAGTATGACCACTAGTATCACATGCGCTTTTTTAAATACTAGAATCGGAGTACAAACCCAATTTCAGAGAAGTTAAGACAGTAGGTAAAATGCAAATAGAAATAGAAAGCTGTGATTTATAAATCTACTTTGTCCTGTATTTGAACAAAACAGTACAAAGACAAGATATATAATATTTTACCTTATCAACTTCTTTGTTTTTGTAAATATATGCTCATTCTGTAATTAGATGGGGTAATGTAAGACTAGAAACCCTGCGAAATGTTCAGAAAAGATCTTAAACAGGTGATGCAATTATGCTTGGAAATAAAAGGAGCATCCAGGAAAGGCCTAATCTTTTATAAGCAAGTATGGGTCGAGGCTCGCCACTATGCCAAAAATACACGAGATTGAAAGAATTCTAGGTATTTCATCATCTACAGTATATAATATTATCAAAAGATTCAGGGAATCCTGAGAGATCTCCATGCGTAAAGTAAAAAGCCAAACACCACAACTGAAAGCCTGTGACCTTTGACCCTCAGAAGACAGTGCATCAAAAACCAGCATGCTTCTCTGATGGATCTTACCATATCGGTTTGGGAATACTTTGATAAACCACCACCTGTCCATCCACAAATGCAAGTTATGTACTATGCATAGTGGACGTTATATGCCAACAACGTCCAGAAACGCTTCCGACTCATCTCAAATGGACTGATGTACACTGCAATTGTGTATTGTGGTCTGATGAGTCAACGCTTCAGATTGTTTATGGAAATAATGGATGAGCCAAAGAAGAAAAGGACCATCCATATTGCTACCAGTGTAAAGTTCAAAAGTCAGGGTCTGTCATGGCATGGGGGGCCATTAGCGGGTCACCTGCACATCTGTAAAACCACCATTAATGCTGAACACATTTCGGAGCAACATTTGCTGCCTTTCAGATGTTGTTTTTTTCAGAGACACCAATGTTTATTTCAACATGACAACATTAAGCCACATTCTGCATGTGTAAAAACAGCATGACTGCCTAATCACTGCTTTCGGGTTTTATTAGCATTTCACATACTGACCCATACAGCATTTCACATACTGTTTACAAAACTGGGTTTGTATTTTCTACTATACAAATTGTATGTACTTCATGAGTACATGCACACAAACACATAGTAGAGGCGTATGTATCAGAGCTGAGGTGAAAATACACCATAATTCTTTTTAGGACTTTGCACATTTTAAATGATATTGTCCTTGAATGTTTATATAATTACACTTTTATAGTTTTATACAAACTGCAAGTGTAAGAAACAGTGTTGAATAGTAGTGGTAAAAATAAATGATGCTTGGATGCACTGTTTTTCTCTCTTGAAAGACTCAATTCACAAAACATTGTAATCAGATTGTTTTATAGGCTCTGTATCTCCATTAATGTAAATAAACTCCTGCACACCCAGAGAATTTATCAAGTAGAATCCTTTGGCACAGCTCAGCTTGGAAGAGAAAAGGCTGATCCAAAAATATTTCAAGGTAGGTTCTACATAGTAGCAAAAATGGTTGTTCTATTGTTACAATGTCAAACTTGTAACAATAGAAGACCCTGTTTCGGTGCTATATAGAACCATTTTCAAAAAGGTTCTATGTAGAACCATATACAACACATTCTCCATCAGTGTGAAAAAACATTTCACCATGCAAAGAACCATTTAAGCATGAAATGGTTCTTATAGAACTCATGGTTCTAAATAGAACCGTTCTCTTTACTAAAGAACCCTTGAAGAACCATCTTTTTAAAGAGTGGACTGTAATAAAAACATACAGATTCAAATCACAGAAAATAAAGGATCCTGAAAAAGATTTAAACAGAATTTGTGACAAAAATAAAACTTCACAGGGCCCTACTTAACCAGAGGCTAAGTTCATGTAGATGACTTTATTACTGAACTGTTCTAGAAGGTTCTGAAAAGCGTTCGTACCTTGTCGCCATCGTCTTCATCACTGCTGAGCTTCAGGTCATCAGCGAGCATGCTGGAAAGTCAAAATGGAGAGCAGGAATGATGAAGCCTGAATATTGAACCATGTCACACACACTCAGTCAGACAGCAGAATATCACTATGTGAGTGTGTGTGTGTGAGGTGGTGAAGTAAACAGTGCATGCTCCGTTAGTTCTATACCAAAACACACTCATAAACACACCCTTCAGAAGCAGAACGGCAGTGTGGTTTGATTGTCGTGCGGAGCTGAGCTCTCTCTGGTTGTGTTAATTTCCTTTTTAATTGGACGCTAACTCCATGAAGTTTATGGACTTAATGAAGTGTGCGTGGAGCGAGGGAGGACACAGCCAGAGAGAATGCCCCAACCCTCCGTATCAACTCAGCCTTAAAACAGCAGTAGGGCTGAAGTTGTAAAATTCTAGCTCTCCTCCTCCTCCTCTCTCTCTCTCCCTTGCTCTCTGTCTCTCTCTCTCTCTCTCTTTCTCTCTCTCCCCCTCTATCTCTCTCTCTCTCTCTCTCTCTCTCTCTCTCTCTATTATATTCACTTCTTTACTCCATCTCTCCACCATGTACCTTATACAGTCGCCTCAATGCATTTGGATGTTTGTGCCGTATTTAAAAATGTATTAAGTTAATTACACAGTTATTTTAAACAGAACATTCCAAGTCTGTGTTCCTCTTTTAGGTTAAGTGTCAAAAGGAGGCTGGTGTGTTTCAAATTTTGTTGTATGACACATTTCTTTGCAGACTTCTGCAGGTTTGGATCCAAAATGCCTGTGTACACTTCTGAGTTCCTGATCCATCAATGAACAAAACCATTATTACAAACAGTCCCAGACTTTGTTGTATCCTCCTCTGTGCTTTACAGTATAGTCTGTTTGGATTTGTGGAAAGCCAAATGATGTTCAGTGATGCTCTAATGCAGTGATATACTTCATTTAAACATTCAATCATTTCCACATTAATGAAATATATTACATTGGCACAGTTATTGCCAAAAGTAAAATGAGATACACAATTGTATTAATGTAATGTACAATACTGTGTAAAAGTTAGAGATCACTTTTACAGTAAGTAAAAGTCATTAATTTTTCAGGAGATATTGCTGAAGAGATTAGATATAAGATAATTCACTTGCATAAGGAAAGTCAAAAGAACTTTAATGAAAAAAACAGGTGTTTCCAAAACCTAAATTAAAAAAATTATTAATATCATTCCTAATAACATTGCAAGACCTGGTAGACCACCCAATCTGTCACCATCAGATAAACAGTACTTAAAGCTTTCGTCTTTAAGAGAGAGGAGAAAATCAAGCTCCACTGTTCCTTCATATCTGAAAAAAATTCACAAGTGTTTGTGTTCACAGAATAATGGACTGACCACCCCAGAGTCCAGACCTCAACATCAATAAATGGGTTTGGAATAAGAAGAAAATGCAACCAACTTCTAATACTGAACTTTGGAGGTGTGGAAAAATGTCCCTTCCAGTCTTCTGGAAAGAATAAAAGGTGTAAAAAGGCAAAGGGTGGACACACCAAATATTGAACATTCTGATATTATACTTAGATGTTGAGGCTTCTGTGTAATTTTCTGCTTTTTCCCTGATGCTGAAAATCAATAACTTATAATAACTAAGGTCTTAATAGTCGTTTGGACTAGAAATTAAATATATGAAGGGTGGTCTCTGACTTTTGCACAGTACTGTATTTTATTCATTGATTTACATACACCACGCAGAGAAATTGTGTACACATTTGAATCAAGCAAATTCAGTTGCTTTTTTCAGTGCTGGTTTCAGTGCTGGTTTATACAAAACCAATTATCATCTAAACAACTTAATATCTGACAATCACACTGACATGTCCACTAATGGTAATCCAGCACAAATCTAAGCAGTTGAACCCAGAGGGGTGTGCGTGACTATGTGTGTGTGTGTGTCTGTGTGAGCCGCTCTTTAATAAAGCTCACAGTCAGAGGCAGTCCAGGCATCTACTGCTGGTGCCTGGTTACCACTAACAGATCAGGTGTCATGCGTCCCACTTACGATTTGTGAGGGGCCACACGTGGCATCCTCATAGAGGCATCATCCCTCACTGTTTCAGAAAAAAAGAGAGAAAGAATGAGAGAATTAGAGTCAGAAAAGACGTAATGTTACGGAACATCTGAACATTTTATATTAAAGTGAACAACAAGATATAAAGACATACTCTCTAATCACACATACATGCACATCCACACAGATACACACACATAAAAAAACCAAAGCGTACATCTTTACATGAAGCTGTGTGCAGCATTACCATGTTTGTGCTGAGAGCTGTGTCGTTTCCCCTCCTGCAGCAGACACACAGAATCAAACCCATCAATCACTCTGCAGGTAGCTAAATAAACACTATTTCTTCTGGTATAAAAATGAGCTGAGTTTTGTACCCACTGGCGCTGGCTCATTTGTTCGTGCTTCTGACAACCCATCATGTCCCTTGTACTCACCTTGGAATCTGAATACAGGAACCTCTCAGTGCCCCCTCCCCCTGGGGGCTGCTGGGAAGGCCAGGAGTGGGTCATATCCTGAAGGGAGTGAGAGAAAAGATTGAAGGTTAAGGGTGGAAGGTCAAAGAGATTTAAGGATTCAGTTTGGAATACATGCAGAGTGGAAATGCAAGAGTTTCACTGTTTGAGGCGAGGCACTGTTTGGGGCGAGATGCCCTCTGACATTACATACTTCTTTTATGGTTTGCATGTCTCAGGTCATGTTCACTTACACCATGCCATTATGGTTGCTGGCCACTAGGGGCCCCATCAGGTGGTTTGAATTACAATCCCGAACTTTTCACAGACTCATTTTGAGCAGAGAGGCTGTGATGAGGTTTGAATTAATGACACTTGACTTTATTGGAATTATAGAGTTCTGTGCTAATTCTGTACTGCACCTGCAATTGGGCATGCTCTTCAGTTCCTTAGTCTCTGAACTACATGACTTTAATGGTCAGGATTTAATAACTGAACAGGGAGCCTGCAGTTTAAGGGGTTAACACGTACTTCAAATTTGCTCATGGTCAAGAAAAAATAAGTGACTAACCAGACCTCCATCATGGACCTCTAAGAACAGGGCTATATACTCTTAGAAAAAAAATATAGTTTTCAGTGTACAAACAATGTCACTGGGGGAGAGGGGGTATCGTCAAGAGTACATCTTCAGTAGCTTTAGTTGTTAATCATAATTGTGCCATAGTCCATTAGAGTTATATTATTTAAGTTGCATTGATTCCATACACCTTGCCTGAAAAGGTACAAGTATGCAGGTTCCCCTGGGAAAGTGAATGTAGTGCACTGTTAAAACTCTTTTAATTGGAACTTAAGGACCATTTTGTACATTTGAGGGTACATTTACATGTTTTGTACCTTGAGGGACTAAAATATAACTGAATATGACCATTTATTGTGACCGTGTAGCTTCAAATGACTAGAGGCCTACAATTGGCTTTTAAAATCCCATGGTGCAAAGCTTATATTTCTTACATTGAGGTATACTACATAAGTTGATGCACATTTTTGGTCACATGAAGTTTAGTTGAATTTAATAAACATTTATTTGAATGCCAATTCAAGGCGAATATCTATTAAGCATTCACAGCACACTATCAAAAAAAGGGTTTTTTTTGGATGTCATCCATTCATCCATACATACATTCACTAATATATCATATTCCCAGAATGTGACTACGTTAAGACTTATAAGCAGACTCAAAATTAGAGTATGAAATTGTTTATTTGAATCATATTATGCTCCCTATAATGGCGTTCTATATAGTGCTCCTGTTTTCCCAATGTTAGGAACAGTGATTAGAACCAACTTCAGGCTACAAGTACAAAGCTATTTTAATGCAGTCAACCAAAGAATCTTACATGCTTTTCACAGTTAAAAGAGGATATTTGAATATTTTCATGCAATCTTCCATAGCACTGCTGACTAAAGAAAAACATGTATCTCCAAATTAGTAACTTTACAGGAGAAGAAATAAATATTCTAAACTTTTAATATAAGTTTATGTAAAGAGATTTATTCCAAGTGATTTTGGAACATTTCTATTGGTCCATATGTTCAAATTTACCACAGGATGATTGAGATAAAAAAAAAAACACCTATTAATCATTTCTGTGATGCGATATATAGTTTGAATTTTAAAAGTCAAATAGATTACAAAATTTGACTATGACAAATGATTTCAGAATTACACGAAAAAGGAAACATAATTAAAACACAATGTAAATGACAACTGCCATGTTCAAATGATGCAGAAAAATAAAAATCAACAAAAATGTAGATACGGTTTCCTTTGGAAGGCAACAATATGCTTTCCTCAGTTCTCATAAAATAAAAACTGACAAATGCTGCACAGATTCTAAAAAGCAGCAGTTACTGATTTCATGTTAAAGACAGGCGATATTTAGATGTCCTGAAGTTTGATTAGTTAAAATAGACAAAAAGCAGTAGGAATTACACATTAAAAGAAATACTATCAAAGACTGTGAATACAGTTATTTTTATTCACATATGGTACTGCACTAGATACAATGAAACAAGACTAATTATGTTCTCTTTGAAGATGCAGTTGGTCAGTTCTTTTGTGACATAATTTATCATAACAATAAATTTCATCATGCTGTGCACCCCTACTCCATGTGTCATGCTCTACCTCATGTCTGACACTGACGTTAATGCAATAAGTAGAATAAATTTAGGAGAGAAATTTCAAGGGCTTTTTAAGTGGAGCTTACGGGATATGTAAGTGTGTGTCAGTGTGTTCTGGTATGTGTCTCAGCAGATTAGCCTAAAAGAGTTTAGTGTTGTCTGTGACTGATGCTCCGTGTGTATGTGTACATGTGTGTGTATGCGTGTGTGTGTAATGAACAGGAAGCAGTCTGCAGTAAAGGTCATGTGTTATCTGCTGTGACGGTTGTAGGCTGTCAGAGGAACAGATGAGGATGTGTGATAGGGCAGACTAGGATGGAATGTTGTCTGTGGCAAATGCCTGAAATCTAATCACAGAGAACACGAGGGATACTCACTATGACGAGCAGCAGGTCGTTGTCATGCTATTTAGCCAGACATGACACAGACGTGCACGTAAATGCAAATGCAAATGCACACAGAAGTACACACGTACATTCTGCATTCGCATCCTTGATACTTGATTGCTTGATACTGTTGTTAGTGCTTTGCATGATTTATTAAAAATAGAGCATAGTTAGTTATAGTTTAGTATAGTAGTTTAATTGGATTTAGTGCAGTACAGTATGTGAGCAATAGGTGACCAATATACACATTTAGTCTTTAAATATACTGATTGATAATTATTTTTTCGGACCATCTCAAAAGAAGGTGAAGGTCGATGTTTAGGTCTCAAATACAAAATCAACATTATATGGATGAAGATATGATGACAACAGATAATTCACTTATATCCCCGGAAGACAAAGTTTTCACCAAGTTTTGACTGAGTTCTCTCTGAATGCTCTTTCAATGCGCTCACAATCATCGGATTCATCCACTCAGTGAAGGGGGTCCGCACATAAAGTGCAGTTATAATTTTCTACTAGAGAAGTCTCCAAATCCACAAGTCTTACTAGTGTAGCTTTAAGGATGTAAGGATATAGCCAGTTTTGACTATTGTTTGTCTACTTCACAAATAAATTCCCACTCATAGTTGACCTCATAGTACTGTGATAACAATGTATCATGGGGCCCAGGATTCCCACTCATAGTTGAACTCTAATTAAAAACAAATTAAAAAATGTTTATCAGTAAAATAAACATCAGTGTCAAAGACAAGAACACTTGTTTTAAACACTGGTATTTAGATGATGTTACAGTCATGGTTTTCAGCAATTGGATCTATACTGTAACTTACTGTATAAGGCGTTATTTTGCTACTACAAAAAAATGATGACCTTAACAGAACACTGGTGTCGAGTCTGTACTCAATATGGCTGATATCAGTGTATCAGAGCTCAGACATCAGAATCAGTGTTGGGAGAGAAAAGTTGAATCTGTGCATCTCTCCCAGGATCACCACTTTCAATATTACTCCTAGTTAAGACAAACCATTTCACCCCTTTAATAATCTCTATCTTACACCCTACATCTCTATCTCTCTATCCTCCGGCCATCTCTTTCTCACAAACACACTTCTCCCTACGGAGCATAAGCTTCCCTCTTTCCACCCGTCCTCTGGCTTCATTATATCTCTCTCCTCTCTCAGTCACTAAGGACTTGAGCTCATCCCTCTCTTCCAACAACAAGACTTCCCAGGTGAGCCTGCTGCTATCTGCTGTGTGTCTTATTCTCTCTCTCTCTGTCTCTCTCTCTCTCTTCATATCTCTCTGTGCCTTGCTTGCACAAACAACGCTCCACATCCTAGCATGACTGCGTGGCCTACTTATCGTCCACCCTTACAGTCTTACCTAATATATTTGTTTCAATGATATGATGAAGCCAGAAGAGCAGTCGAAAGGGGGATTGCCAACTGGAGTATATCTATAAATGTAAAGCACATATATGGCATCAGAATATTCTTTGTAATTCTATTGTGCTCATTTATCTGTACGTGTGTATTTATAAATATAAATAAAAAAATACTTAAATGACAACACAGTGGTAGAAAATTGCATTGCAATGCACACTGAAACCGCTACAAGGAAATAATCTCAGTCTAGTGCTGGTTAGTATCGATAAAATTTGGTATCACTATATTTTCTAAATGTTTTCAGAGCATTAAAAGATATTTGAGTTTGCATTCAGAAAGTTAATGAATGCACTGCTACTCTATGCTAAAATAATGTCTTGCAAACTTGATATATACTTGATTACTTGATTTTACTTGATTTCACTTAGTAAAGACATTCTGTGTATTGAAGTTAACTGCATACCATGAACACAGTGTACAAAATAGAATTAAACAGCTAAAAGCAAACTGCCTGGCAACAGAGAAAATACTAATTGCTGGACATTAAATCATGGATTATCTATCAAATATATTGCTAAAATTAGTCTCCAGAATAGTATGTTTATAAGAAAAGGCAAAAACATTCTTAAATTACAATGATTACAATGTAAGTTATTGTAACAAGATTTTATTTCTACTTGTAGACAACTATCTTAAGTGATGTCCTTTAATTGAAATAACTTGATTTAAAGATTTGAATTTTTTACCCAATTTTCTCCCAAATTTAGCCACTCGCTAGCTAGGTGTCCCCCAGTCACATGATGCTACAAAGTTGGGAGGTGAAGGGCAGCACATTCATCCTCCATGAGGAAGCACCACCGCATCTTTTCGACTGCTGCTAACACAGCGTCATTAGACACCCTTGAAGAACACTAACAGCCATGTTCATGTTAGCTTGCATTGTGCTGAGTGATGAAAGGAGAGGGTCAGCCATCCTACCCACACAGAGAAAGGGGGGCCAATTATGCTCTCCTGGACTTCTGGCCATGGATGGCTGTGGCATCGCCAGGTATCAAACTTGCAATCTACTAATGATGGTGCCAATGCTAACACAGTATTTTTAAAAGAAAAAATTTTGGTTGGTATAGACTGATGCTCACTTTTTCAGAATCAGTCTGAGGAAAAGTAGCATCATGCCGTCTTTACTAAAAAGATTATTAAAACTGAAAAGCAATATCATGCTATGCCAGTATTGCTGTATACTAGTACAGACAATACATTGCTAAGCCCCCATCTCTCTCACACACACACACATCATGAAATAGACGTTCCTAATTTTGCACTTACTACCAAAATATTCTCATTTTACCTGTGTGAACAACACAGTAAGAGACTTAATTAACAGAGCTTTTGTACACATACACACACACAAAGTCACACACAGTGTGTACAAAACCACAAGTTCACACACACATGCAGCTGAGTAACAGAGATGTGTGTGCAAGGTGAGTGCTGGTTAGTGGTAGCAGTGTGTGTGTTTGTGAAAGAGGTGATAAGCACATGCGTACAGTACCAATGCAGCACCCACGCAGCCTGAAACCACATCCAGCACACTTATAGCTCAGCATCTTATCACCATTCAAAGCTATAGCTATAAGTTCCTGAAGCATTTTCTCTGTTGAACTTCACACTCCTCACTGAGGGTTGAGGGGAGGTGGCACGAAGACTAAACTGGGCTGGGCTTACATTTCAAATCATCCACTCATCAGCTGTTGTGATCACATGTCCTGTCTATACGTTCTCTTAAAGTGAACGCACAGCAAGCAGCCACCTATTTGTAGAAGCAGGTGCCTCTGCATAAGTAAGAAAGTTTGAAATCATAAGATTATTTAATAATGTTGAAGAATGGTGGTGATAGGATCCAGGGGTCACATGGTCTACAACACAAATATGGCCATTTTATTTACTATCCAAAACTACCAGCCAAATCTGAAAAAAGTTTTCTGTGAGGACTATTTTGCATTACAATGCCCTGTATGTACCTCTCCACCATGTACCATGTACCTTTTAACAGCACATTTTTGACTAAAACCTTATCGCAAAAGTATTGTAAAACAATGTCTCAGGCATCAGGAAGTGTATTCATAACTATTTCATGTAATAACTTTCAGTGAGGGGGCTTTTAGAGGTGTTAAATGCTTTGGATGTCTGGTTCCCACCACTGCAAACAATTCTAACTGTAAGTTTCTCTAGAACAGAACATTTCATGTCAAACTGCTCTCAATGACCGTTTACGTCTTAGCAATTTAAGGTCCTACGCCTGGCATTTAAGGTCCTACTTTGTATTACTGTGCATTTACTTAATAAATATTGATGTTTTACAAATTAAGAGCCATACCAGAGTACACTAGAGATGCAGTATACTACAACAGAGTATACACAGAAGATAGCTCACAGACAGCGCGTGTGTGTATAACATACAAAAACATACACTGTTCAACAATGATAGGAATGAAGCTTAGTTCAAAGCCTAATTCAACACACCTCACTCATATGTCTGAAGACACTGCTTCACTGAATGTAATATGAAATATTAGATTTGATTAGATTACTGCAAGGCAACAGGATAATTTAACCTGACCCACTGGTAAAAAGGTTTGAAATGTACGGTTAACTTCCTAGTTCATACAGTACTTATTTGGAAGCTAAGCTGCAAAAAAACAGCCCATTTTGAATTCTTTGTTTTTGTGATGTCACAAAGAACAAGTTTAAACATTTACACACTACCCTGTTCAGTGTACAGCTGTTCTTCCCCACCCATCATGCTGAAGGTATAAGGAGTGTTTCATCCTGTGCTGCTTTTTGAATGAGGCACAATTTAGGGCAGCCAATCAGAACATAGACCATTTACACATACCAGTCTTAAAACACAGTAACAAAAACAGCCTATTTAATACTTAAGCATAAAGAGAGGTTGGAAAATGGCCATGTAAAAATACATTACTTATTTTTAGTACATACACGAAACATGTTATGACTTGTTACTTCCTGTGGTGTCTGTTTAAATCTGTCCTGATGTTGACAATCACATTAAAGGTCCAAAGAGCACACTACATTGAATAACTAGCCCATATCTACCACCACCATCTCTTCATTCAGTCAATCTGTGCTTATCTACTATAAACACACCAGCGAGTCACACATCATGCACAGCAGTGGTAAAAAAAAGCTGAAAGCAGGCCGACTGCAATTCAAGCAATAACAACAGATGATGAACCTCATAATGAGGAAGTTAATCATAATATTTTTGGGCACTGCAGTGTCTCTCCTAGCGTCTTGCTACAAGTGTGCCAAGCATGCTGATATACACTCATCTTGTTCCCTCTCTCTTACACACCTCCAACAGCTGTCTTTGTCCTTCTCTGTATCTTTTCCTGTCTGAAAGAATGACTCATCTGTCTTGGTGTCACTACAGTTGTGAATGTGTATGTGTGAGAGAGTGAGAGACAGAGAGGGGGAGAGAGAGACAGAGAGAGAGAAAGAGGGAGAGATAAATATGCATTGCATTTACTTGATTCACATCATTTGAATAAAGTTTGTTAAATCAACACAATTTTGTCTTTCAGTTCTCTCACTTTGGGCAAAAATTGTGTTGATGTAACATATTATTCAGTATGGAAATGATGCCTCTTTCAGTGTGCATTAAACTCAGGGTCTTTTGGTCACTCACTCATTCAAGCAGGTCCTTTTCAGGAGTGATGGTGTGATCCAGCACCTTTCGCACCCTTCTTCAGCTTCTTCTTCAGCTTCCTCTCACTCCAGCCAGCGCCTGCCTGCATATCCAGCTGTCCACATCAGCCTGAGCAAACTTCCAGTCCAGTCAAGTCCAGTCCAGAGCGCAGAAAGTTGCTCTGCAGCCCGGGCTCTCTATGGTAAGGTCCAGACTCAGGCCAGGCCAGGCCGCTAGCGCGCTGCACTGCTGCTCATGATGTAACCCCTCGAGCTGGGGCTCATAACGGCGCACACTGAAGCAGCCCTGCGCACGCACAGCAGAGGAAGTCTCAGTTTGAATATTGTGATTTGAATATTTCGCGCATGGCCACAAAAGCAAAACCGAAAAGACTGAGGCTGCAGCGACCGGAAAACGGTTCAACTGCCAAACCCAGCAGCGACACTTCAGCCCCCCCAGACGACAATCACGCAGCCCCATTCACCATCAGCACAATCAAGCACTCAAGCACTTCTGTTGAGCTTTACGCAAGTTAAAAATGAAGCAACTGGTGTTACGTCAGCGCTCTGATGTAAATGATATTTAACGCACGGGGAAAGTGCAAGACTAATAAATGCCATAATCAATAACTACATGTTCTAAAATAACCAAGTCATTTCAGTCTCAGCAGCCAAAAAAGGTAGTCGAACTACAGTGAAGTAAAAGAAGTTCTGCGCTTACCTGGTTCGGGTATGAAAACATGTAAAAGAGCTTTTCCTTTTCTTCCAGCAGCAGCGCGCATGATGCTGTTAGTGCCTTTACTTCTCCATCGCGGTGCGTAAAGGCGCTCCAGGGCAAAGAGCAGCAGCGGAGCGCGCGATGGGCGGAGGCATCTCCTATTAACTCCAATCACTTCCAACCACCTCCTCAACTCCTCTTAACTCATCACCTCCTCCAGCTTCTATCAGCTCCTCCTATCTCCTCCACTCCTGAGAGAATCCTGCACCGTCAGAGCGACAGGACTGTAGCAAATAGAGCTGGAGGGGAGGAGGCACTGTTGGGTAGCGTCCTCCTCTCTTCTTATAATTAGAAAAAAAAACAAAACAATATTCAGTCAGGAAAGTATGGCTTACTTTTTAAGATACATGTGAACAAATTCTATTAAATATTAGTAAAACTAGAAATTTCATGAAAAAATTTCATTTAAGTTGGTTTGACAAAGCCAGCCAATAACGCTTCAAAAGTTAAAGCAGCTGCAGAACACTGTTGATTGCTTTTGATGACTAAATTGGGGTTTATGTAGTAATTCCAGGTAGCTGCTATAGTGTTGCTATGAGGTTGCTATGATATTCCAGCTTGTTGTTAAGGTGTGGTTTTAGGTGGTTGCTAAGGTGTTGCTAAGCCATTGCCACTGTAATCCAGGTGGTTGCTAAGGTGTTGCCAAGCCATTGCAACTGTATCCCAGGTAGTTGCAAAGGTGTTGCTAGGCCATTGCTAGCACAACTTAAGAGGAGTGTCTAAAAACATTTGGCTCCAGAGTGTATTCTGACTGTGGTCAAATAAGAGTTACAGGTATAGGTATTTTATAATAAATAAGTAGAATGACTCACTACTAAACCACTAAAATAATATGATAGGTATATATTCTTTTTTTTAAAAAACAAGATAATATACAATCAGGGAAGTAGGGCAAAGGAGTACAGACAATACATGGATACGTTAATATGGCACATAAGAATAATGATAATAATGTGTGTTTGTATGTCCAAGATTGTATAGGTGCCTGCTCATCCAAAGTTTTTTTCTGCAATCAAGGGTATGGATGATTAGTTCTGGACCACATACACCACTCCAGCTCATCCCAAAGCTATTAGATGGAGCGCCATCACTTCAGAGAATGCACTTCCACTGCTCAACAGTCCACCATTGGGGTTCTTTATGCCCCTCTAGCTGATGTTGTCATTGGCATCATGACCCAAGACTCATGTGCGTCACATTCTATTGTGAATGCATTTCTATGGAGATTATACAAACTGTACTAATACAATTGAACACTTGAATCAGCATTTTAAAGCAGCTGAATTCACTAATTAGACGAGTGTCTTGATACTCATGGACATAAAGTGCATCTAGGAATCAGTGGGATTTACAATAATGTCGCTTTGCATAAAAGCATCTCCTAAATGCTGTGAATGTAAATGTAATGTAATGCGAAAAGTTAAAGAATTTAAAGAAAACTAGGAAAATATAAAGTAAGAAAAGTAAGTAAAAATGAGCAAGATATTCATGGGAATGCAGATAAGATGGTCAGAATCTCACACCTCAGTGAGGTAATTTAGAAAACTGTTCAGATACTCTCACATTGTTCTGGGTGTCTCAACAACTCACCAGATCTGTTGCTCATTGCATCCTCTAAATATGGCAACAACTTTCAGCTTCAGAGCTCTTGTAAAAATGACCCAATAGGAAACAGGCTGCCAGTTACAGAAAAACAGAAAATAAACCTGAGAGAAGGGGATGGACAAGAACTAATCTTCTGTAGAGTGCATACAATTTATGTCAAAAGTATCCAGGCATCTCTGCTGTTTAATGATTTCTACTTTGAGGTGCATCCCGTTGCTGACTGTTCATTTGCACACATGGCTTGTGTAATCTTTACAGAAAAGCAACGCCAACAGAATGGGATGCTCTGAAGCAGCCACACATGACCTGACATCACCGTGCCCAATGCCAAGTGCCGGATAGAGGGGTATAAAGCCCCTGAGCTTTGGGCTGTGGAGGAGTGCAATAGTGTTCTCTGGAGTGATGGAGCTCAATCCAGTACTTTTGAGATGAACTGGAGTGGCATTTTTGATGCAGGACTAATCACCCAGCATCAGTACCATATCCTCACTAATGCTCTTGTGCAATCAAATCCAAGAGGCTGTTACTACAGCAAGGGGCTCCCTATTAATAACCTTGATTTCAGGAGAAACATTGGATGAGCAAGTGTTTACAAACTGTTGCACATATAGTGCCTATGCAAGTACTTGAAGAGTCTTCTGGTCTATGGGATGTTGTCAGGCATTACATGTATACTGTAACTCAAATGGAAAAAGAAAAACAAGTAGCAAACAGAATACTAATGCCTGGAGCATATAAATGTGTCAGGAGAGGCTGCAGAGGATTTATAGAGATACTGTCTGAGACACAACTTGCTTGTCTGTGTATTGATTTCTCACTGACTCAGAGTGAAGCTGAAGAGGAGTGGGACAGTGTGAGCCAGTGTGAGTCCTGGGAGATGTTAAATTCAACATAACACCCCACAGGACAACAAAATAAGGAGAATATGAACAGTTGATCCCAAATTTCCCCTTTTCTGCTTGACATCTTCATTTCACTCTTATTTTCTCTGGAAATCACTCTGGAAAAGTGATGCTTTTTTGATGATTATGAATTGATTCCATCTGAATGAGCACTGGTGCCTTGACCTGTTTATACTACTGTTGTCATGGTGCCATGATGGCTTACTATTGAAGACACTTGTGAACAAGTTCTATTAAATATTATTAATAACTAGAAAAGGAAAGTGCATGAACAAACTTTGTCAGGTTGGCTTGACAAAGACAGCTAATAACACTTCAAAGGTTAAAGCAAATGTAGAACATTGTTGATTGTTTTTGATGACTAAATTATGTATGTATACAGTAATTCCAGGTAGTTGCGATGGTGTTGCTATGAGGTTGCTATGGTATTCCAGCTTGTTGTTAAGGTGTTACTTGATGGTTAAGGTGTTGTTAGGCCTAACCTATGGTACCCCAGGTAGTTGCTAAGCTGTTGCTAAGCCATTGCAGTTGTATCCCAGGTGGTTGCTAAGGTGTTGCTAGGCCATTGCTATGCTATCCGAGGTGGAATATATGTGGTATGACTCACTACTAAACCATGAAAATATGATAGGTATGTAGTTATGAGACTGAGCAATAGTACAGTTCCTAGAAGTTAAATGACTTAATCAAACCAAACCACCTTAATCTGAATACATTCACTTCTACTACATCACATTTCATGCAATAACTATGAAATTACAGGAAGAATAGTTTCATTTTTACAGTTAACCTTAATACACTGATGTGAGTGAGATGCTAGAATTCTATCCCAGAACTCAAGCAGGAGCATGCGTGATTTTCTCGCCATTACCCAACCTAATTGTACAGATGTTATGTTACAATGTTCCCCTTCTCTTTGGCAGGGTTTCATAATTCAAATACAGGTTCAAATAGAGCATATGCTGCTTTTGACCTCAGAGGCATTATTCACACTGCTGAGCACAGAAGAGAGCCACACCTGGGGAGGAAAAAAATCACATAGTGAAACCAAGAAACTGTGGTCAAAAATGATTAGAGATAAAGAGAGAGAAAGCTCTCAGAGAGACCATATGAATCTATGAGAATGGTAGAAGAGTGTTGAGACTTGAGTAAAGCAGCTTATTTGAATGCAAAGCGAGTTTGCAGGATGACACATCTACACCAGAGAGACTGCATCAAGCCCCTGACACTGTGTTAGTGTTCGTGTTTAATGGTGCATGCAGGTTTATATGTGTATTTGTTTATGGGAGTCAGTAGGAGATTTTGAGTTATGGTGTTATTACATCTCCTACACATGGTGCAGAAGTGGGGCACATGCATACTGCATTATGATAAATCAGAGAGAAGAGCAGTCATAAAGTAGTGCTAAAAATCAATACCGATGCTCACACCCTCTCAGAGGCTTTTACAAATGGACATGTGCCCACATCACATTAAATCACAGAAAAAAGTACATTCTTAAAAATAAAGGTTCCTAACTGCACTGAAAGGTGATTGGTGCTTTGAATTCATATGATTCAAACATGTCGAGATTATTAAAAAACTTATAATCTGCTATAGAACCTTTACATTACGTGGAGGTTTTTTAAACTTTGAAGAGGATGTTTACACTGGCACATCACATTTACAAATGTGATTCTTAGAAGAATCTTCAGTTAAAAGGTTCTTTAGAGAACTATAGGTAGTTCTTAATTTCAAAATGACCTCCTTATTTTTAAGAGTGTAGGCTCCTGCTAAAGTATTAGCTACTTCCCACCCATAGGCTTGTCACTGTTATAACAGAAATAGATGATCACAATTATTTGAACTGATAGCAGTCTCCACAGTTATTAGCTTTCACAGTCATATGTTTATGACACAACAAACAGAATGTGTCATCCATTGCGTTGAGGCAAAAGGCTGTAAGTGGAAAAAAATAGAAGAAAATGTAATTAATTACAACACAACATGGATCTCATGAAAACAGTTCTAACTACTGACTGATGCTATAAAACCTTTAACATTGAGTAATGTTTGTTTATTTGTGCTCAAGCTGTGTCTGTAAGCACTGACAGCTAGAAAGCACACAGCTAATCAGTCAATTTGCCCATTTTACACTTGTAATTCAGTAGTTCAACCATAAAAAGATAGACAAATGCATTTGCATTTATTTATATACCGAATAATCATCGGCTAAAATTTAATGATTGTGACAAGCCTACTTACACACAACCAGAGTAAATGCATGCATTCATTACTGATACTCAACTAACAAAACATTCAAATACAGTCACAAATACAGTCCAACTATGTAGGAATAACAGAATATATAAAAAGGGGTGTGACTGCTCTTTAATAGCAAGGCAGACATATGTTAATGAGTTAGTAGATGAGGTTAAACAGTGAATATGACAGGAAGCTTCTCGAGCATACACGAAGAGGAAGTCTTTGCAGGAGCGCTCTTGGTTACAGCTCCTGGTGATGACTGACCTGAGGGATTGTGGGTTGTCCCATGGCAGGCCTGTTAACACATGATGTTCTGCATTGCCAGCCTCCGGAGTGCAAGCTCTCCCACCTCAACACCCCAGAGATTCTCCTTGAACCTCCACTGGTATCCATGGTGACCCGCTGGGACCTTAGATTCCTCTAGGTAGCTGGTCAGGTGATGCTGTGCACTGAAAAAAGTAATGCACTGTATTTGCTTGATTCAAACTTCATCTTCACACAAATACAATATTACATCATTATGACTTACTTTGGGCAATCATTTTGTAGTTGTAATACAGTTAAGTATATTTTATGTGGAATCGGTGTATACATTTGGATAAAGTAAATTATTTATTATGCACTTCATTCACTTTTCTCATCTTAGAATCAAATTTACATCAAACCGAGAGTGCTAGTTTGCAGACTCCTTTCAAGGATATAGTGTGAAAGGGAATTCCAATGATTTTTCAAAACTTCTGCATCATTAAATGTAAACAGAGTCATTCAGAGCAGATTGATGTGAAACGCTCAGTTCTAGAGTCAGAACTGTTGACAGTGGTGGTGATAGGAACCAGGCGTCTAAAAAGTTTAATGCCTCTAAATGCCCCCTCACAGACAGCTATTAAATGAAATATTCACAAATATGCTGCATGGGCCTGAGATTTTTTTTTTGTTTCAGTTTTGAGATAAAGTTTTGGCCTAAAAGCAATTTTTTTGTCCTTTCATGGTGGAGAGGAGTTGTAAGGCAAAATAGCCCCTAATGTAAAATCACTGGTTGTTCTGTGTAGCATGTAAATTACACTATATAGTAAACAAATGGCTGTATTTGTGTTGCAGACATCGTTCCTATCACCACCACTGTAAAGAAATCTGAGTCAGTAAGTTTCTCTACAGTGAACTATTTCACATCAAACCACTCTGAACGACTTTTTAATTTTTTAAATCCCTTTTAATTATTTTCTTTAAGTAATAGATTCAATCACCATTCAGCCTATGTCCAGGTTGATTTGAGATTTAAGCAGGTATTGTCCGTAGACTCAGTGGCATAAACTGTACTGAAAGGGATTTTCTCAGGCATTGATTCCATGACGCTTTTATGGATGTTTTTCACTTAAAAACGCCTCAGCCTGTTACATTCAACACAGCACATTTAGCATTAGACAATTTGCTGCTGTTCAACACAAAATAAAGCTAATCGAAATAATATTTATGACCGCATGCCTAGTGTCTAATGTCCCAGTATATAATAGTAGGTTACACAGCACCACCTTGCGGACAGCTGTCGAAGTGCAGAAGGATCAATAAAAGAAAAACAAAAAAGACCTGTATAATAAGGGCAGGAAGAGTGAATCTGTTTATTCTGGTAGGCCTATACTTGTTCGCTCTGTTTATTAATTAATTAATTAATTAATTTTAATTATAGGGCCAGTTTTGCATCCGGGCTGCTGTGCAGTGGACACGAATACTAGCCCGTAGCTTGACAGGTGTTTTCTTCAGCCCGCACCAGCAGACTGTTCATCACGTCTGTCTTTGTCGTGTGAATAGACTGTAGGTGTGAAATCCTGAACACTGAGGCTGTGAACATGCAGACGTGCCTCCAGAGCGGAGTGGTCGAGCAGGCCGGCCTGTGGGAGTGATGTCATCTGCCGGAAGATGCGAAGTGGCAGACGATGCAGGTCGAGTGCAGCGCAGTGGTGGGTTTCCCGTGAGCGGCGGACTGACAGCAGCGAAAACGAGAGCGTCAATCTGCTTTAGACACGGCGAAGGAACAGGCAGCCGGAGACAGGCTGCAGCCCGGCGGCACTGCGGCGCCTTCTCACTGATGGAGGAAGAACATGGTGCTTCATTCAGCGGCTACTGGCTGATACACCGCGGCTTCCATTTTCCATAGGAAAAAAAAAGAAAAACACACGGCTGGAGGAGAAACCGACGAGTGCGAGCATGAATCCAGCGGAGCAGACGGTGACATGGCTCATCACGCTCGGGGTCTTGGAGTCGCCCAAAAAGACGGTGTCGGACCCCGACGGGTTTCTGCAGAGCGCGCTAAAGGACGGGGTCGTGCTGTGCCGGTTACTGGAGCGCCTGCGCCCGGGCTCCACCGAGAAAGTAAGCGCCTCCGCTCCATCTTTCTCTCTCTCTCTCTCTCTCTCTCTCTCTCTCTCTCTCTCTCTCTCTCTCTCATTATAACCTAACGCTTAGACAACACGAAGCGCCCATGGCACATTGTCTCACATCTGGCCAGTGTATTGGACCTTTTATGGGCTAACCCGCCTCACATTTGGTCCATAACATTGACAGCGAACAGCGCGCGCTCGTCGTGTGTTGTGCGCGCTATATTAACGCTGTATTACCAGCAGCGGCGGCGAAAACACACGCACGCTGATAAGCCGCGTCCTGCAGGCCTGTATGTGCTTCTGCTTACGTTTCTGTTATGAAAAATAGGCCTCTGTGTGTTGACCGCCAGGTAGGCCGGCTGGGCAACGATAGATTAACCTACATTATCCTGTCTAGTTATAGAAGAACGACATGCTAGAAAATCGCATTATGAACATCGCGGACATCTGTTACTGATGATCGTAGTTATTTATCCCGCTTGAGGAAGAGAACCGTCGTTAAACTGCAAAGCGACCGAAAAGAACAGGTGCAGCGAATAATTAAAAACGCATATTGTATAGATCGAGCTGTGTATGATCTGTGTGCTGGAAGTGGCGATATATTAAAAGCCGATCTCTGGTGTTTTGTGAGTGTTTGAAGGAGCTCGTGCTAAGGCTGAGGCTGAACTGACACCTTATTAAGTGTGTGTATTGCTGTGGTGTCGCTAATCTGTTTAACCACTACACTGCAGCACGAGGAGCACAAAGGAGCACTGAGACACCAGCGCGCAAACAGGGTACATTCTGAAAATCTGGAGGCCCTACGTGATCTACACCCCCCCAACTTACCCTTCACTTTTAGCAAAAAAGGGTTCCATATAGTGCTTAAGAAAGGTTCGTTGATTCATAACAATACACCCTTTTTGGTCCTCTCACCAAGCACTTTATTAGGAACACCTGTACACCTACCCATTCATGCAGTTATCTGTTCAGCCAATCGTGTGGCAGCAGTGCAGTGCATAAAATCATGCAGATATGGGACAGCAGCTTCAGGCAATGCTCACATTAACCACCAGAATGGGGAAAAATGTGATTTTGACTGTGGCATGTTGTTGGTGTCAGATGAGCTGGTTTGAGTATTTCTGTTGCTGCTGACCTCCTGAGACTTTCACACAAAACAGTCTCCAGAGTTTACTCAGAATGGTGCAATAAAGAAAAAACATCCGGCGAGCGGCACTTCTGTGGACAGAAACACCTTGTTGATCAGAGAGGTCAACAGAGAATGGCCAGACTGTTTGAGAATAGACAGAAAAGCTATGTTAACTCAGATAATCACTCTGTACAACTGTGGTGAGCAGAAAAGCATTTCAGACTGCGCAACACGTCAAATCTTGAAGTGGATGGGCTACAACAGCACAATGTCGGATTCCTCTTCCGTCAGCCAAGAACAGCTGTGGTGGGCACAGGCTCACCAAAACTGGACAGTTGAAGACCGGAAAAACGTAGCCTGGTCTGATGAATCTCGATTTCTGCTGAGGCACACAGATAGCAGGCCTAGAATTTGGCCAGGCTGGTGGAGGTAGTGTAATGGTGTATGGAATGTTTTCTTGGCACACTTTGAGCCTGTTAACACCAATCAATCATCGATTTAATGCCCTAGCTAATTTGAGTATTGTTGCTGTGCATGTGCATCCCTTCATGGCCACAATTTACCTATCTTCTAATGGCTACTTTCAGCATGATAATGCACCATGTCACAAAGCAAAAGGTCGTTTCAAACTGGCTTCATGAACATGACAATGAGTTCAGTGTTCTTCATTGGCCTTCACAGTCACCGAATCTGAATCCAATTTGGGATGTGGTAGAACGAGAGATTCACAGCATGAAAGCTCACCTGAAAAATCTGCAGGAATTGCCCTGATGCAGTCATGTCAAGATGGAACAGAATCTCAAAGGAATGTTTTCAACATCTTGTGGAATCCCTACCACAAAGAATTAAGGCTGTTTTGAGAGCAAAGTGAGGCCCTACCCAGTATTAGTGTAGTGTTTCTGATAAAGCGTTCGGTGAGTGTATATAAGAGGTTCTAGGAATGGAAAAGAATTAATACTTCATTAATTTTGATGAGGGAAAAAATATAATAAATGCTAAAGTTAAAAAAATAGTGAATCTAATGAAGAAATAGAAAAAAACACATGAATACCACATGTGCATAAACACGTGGTTTTTCTACACTCAAAATGCAAAAATGTTACAAATGTGTTATCACGTGAAAAAATGTGATCACCTGTTAAATTGTGTGCAAAGGTAAAAAAATTGTGCAATCACTTGCAAACACATGCAAAAAGCACACTTCACTTGTGAAGTATATGTGACTATATATATGTGAAGGGCTATTATATAGAACAACTGAAGTGTCTATTTAAATAAATAAAAATAAATAAAGAAAGAAACACAAATAAAAATATATGTTTTTCTGCTACTATCTTAGACACAAACATTTGAATTGCATTGATTTGTTTTGCTAACCAAGGAAATTCAAATTCATAGACAGGACTCTAGAAACTGCTTCCTGACTAACAATCCACCAACAGTCTCTAAATGATTCATCCACTAAATGTTTTGTTCATATAGTTTGTATAACAAATGGATTTCAGTGGCCTGATTTTCCTCCTTAATGAAAAAGAAGTAATATTACAGGATTTTTACAGGATTCCTATAAGAATCCTATAGTAGATAAAAATACTATTGTTTACTACATGAACCCACAAATCTATAATGGATTAATAAAACAGTACTACAAGATTATATGAAGGTATTATGTAATTATATGTAATTATTATTGTTTTTCATAAAGGTAAGATGTATTATTGAAGTCATCCTGAAGGCTTACAATTGCTAATACTTCATTATTTTTTTAATTGGCCTGTTACTACAATCTACTACTACAATCTGAAAAAGTAAGTAACAGTGTTGTTTTTTGACAGATTCACTAGCTTAACTATCTAAAATTTATAACTTTATTTGGAGAACAGGTGTTCATTCCTAAATATAGACAAGGCTAATATGCAGGAATTTATACCAACACAATAATATCTATCTATCTATATATATATATATATATATATATATATATATATATATATATATATATATATTTTGGAAGACTACAGCCTACAGCGTATCTAAATCTTAATCCACCATCTTACAGTGAATGATTTATCAAATCTTATCACAGTGAAGCAAAACAGACACCAGCCACTGTCCTCCTGCACTAAGAGGACTTCTAGTGAACATTTAGGCTAATGAGCTAAACGCAGGGTCCACACATCTTTCTAAAGAGATACTGTGATCAAAAACAAATTATTTAACCATTCCTACATCTGTTGTAAACATGCTTGCCCGCTACAATAATCTCACAAGTGTTAAAGACTAGCGCCATGTCCGAAATGGTCCCCTAATCACTACCCTCTACATTCTAAAATCTGGATCACTATTTAGAGCACTATTATAGGGAACAGACATGTGTGATTGTGGTTAATGAGTTTTGACACTAGGCTACGTCATACAGGTTTGCCCATTACTGTTTTGGACACCACTACAAAAAGGCTGAACCCCAAAATAATGTTAGTGCAATATAGTGAATAAGGCACAGTTTTGAACACAGATTAGGACTCCCTTCTGATAATGTATCTTGAAGGTGGGAAGAGCCTTTAAAAAACTACAAGTGATTTGGGGCAGATACTTGAGGGCAGACATTTATTTATTTTTTATTTTTTTGGTATTTTTTGCTTTCTGGAGAATGCAAACTGAAGACAGATAGCTTTAAAGTTACTGCTAGAAAGCTGACCATCACACTTATATATGAATAGAATTCGAGTGGATTATTTTATGGCTGCGGGGGGTGTATGACGTACTTGCGTAATGCATTTTGGGTATTGTAGTGAGAGAACACTGACAAACAAACACACGATAAAACGATATAAATCCTGAATTCTGTCAGGCTGATGAGTCTGAGGGGTTCCGTCTCTCTGCGCTAAAGGATACTGCCTTACATAACAGCATATCAAATTATTTAGGCCATTTAGCAGGCCGTTAAATGCTCCTTTAATTGCCGAGTCTAGTTTAGAGACTGCTTATTGACCAGAGAAATCCTACCAGTGTTTTTATTTTGCCCGCCAGATCAGCGGTGCCCTGCGCCCACTCTTGGTCGTCATTTCCGGTCTCTGCTGCTCTCTCTTCCCGCGGTGTGTGTGTGTGTGTGTGTGTGTGTGTGTGTGTGTGTGTGTGTGTGTGTGTGTGTGTGTGTGTGTGTGTGTGTTTGGTTCAGGCTGAAGCTGCTGGTCGGGCTCTGGGCAGCTCGCCTCCTTACACTCATGTCCAGCCAGTGTTCAGACTCCTCATTCCGCAGAAGCTAAAGAGGGAGAAAGGCTCGACCTCGGCTTACTCGCTCGCCCACTCCCCTCACTGTGTTGTTGTTTCTCCCTCTCAGATTTTTCACGACCCCAAAAGCGACAGCGAGTGCCTGAGCAACATAAAGGAGTTTCTGAAGGGCTGCGCTGCGTTTCGTGTCGAGGTAAGCTGATGCTCTTATACACACTAAAAGCAATAAAGTGCCACTCAGGCCTGCTTTTTTGCAACTTTAAGAAGACAAACGGGCGAATGGTGCTCTGTGGAAAAACAATCAACAAAGGAGACTTAAGACTGACTGACTGACTGACTGTAGGAGGCTCAACCGTTACGCTTAGCATGTCGCTACGAAAAGCAACTACAAAACTATAGTTTTACAACAGAAACGTGTAGAGATCGTATATTAAGTCATTACAAATTGGTGAAGTGCTCTTACATTTTGTTAAGATATTTTCACCTCACTGTTGTTATTGTTATTATTGAAGTTGATAATGTCTTGGTTATGAACAGCCGTGCTTTGTTCATTCATGTGATGCTTTGTCCCTCTGATACGGATTTGATATGATATGTGGACTCTGTAGCAGCCTCCTTTAAAACCTGGCTTCTTCTGGTTCATCTGGTTCACCATAGTTACGCTTCTGCTTCTGTGATCGTGATTTGTCGTCAAATAACAACAGATATCTTCCTAAATCAGAGTATTGACGTCCCTGTCAACATACTTACAAAAGCCCATTAACAGTGACTCTCCAGAAAGGCTGCACCTTCCATGTCTTTCAGATTTAGCTTGTTGTTTAATAAAGAGCTCTTTTGGGGTTATTTTGTACTGCTCAGAATATCCTCCTAAGTGCAGAAACACCAATAATAATAGTCTGCTGCAGACATTGGCTGATGCATTTATTTTCACAGATGTGGTAACATTGACATTTTAATAACTAGCTGGACCTACTCCATTTACTTAGGTAGAGTTTGTGTAATTAGATATTGTGAAATATACCTGCAGTCTGTTATATGAAATCCTTTCCCAGTGTTTGTTTGGATATAGGACGCCTAAAAATTTCATGGTGAAATACAAAGGGCCAGATTGGAGTATACTGAATTATGCGCATTTATTATGGAGCCAGATGGTTTTGGATGAAGCCCAGCTATAGGAGGCAAGTGCACTGAGAAGAGAATTCGTCTAGTGTGTGAGCACATGTGGGATATCCTGTGCTAGCTGTGTAATGACCACAAAAGCAAGTGGTGAATTTATTTTTTGGTGGCTTTCAGCAAAAACACTTTGAATGCTTTTTATGGAAATTAATTGATAGCTTGCATAATTTCTTTAGTAATGCAGGCATTGCTTTGTTTTTTCATCCTTCTCTTAATGAGTAACTTTTAGTCACAGTGACACTCTACAAATGTATATTTGTAGGCCCATTGATTCTGATTGTGCCTCCTCTGTGTAGCTGCTACATTTTTAACTGTGCAGCATGTGAGTAAGATACTGCAGTATTCTCCTCACATCCTACAGTAGAGTGCTCACAGAAAGATGCCCTGGCATTGCCCATGTCCAGCTGGGACATGCCTGCACAAGCCCCTCTTTGTCCACTCTGAAGACCGTGTTTGAGGGGCTAGTGCATTGGGCTTTGCATGATTGCTGCTGTGTTAGATCCCAGCTGAGCACAGTTAACAGTCCAGCTAGTGAAAACTGCTGCTGCCATCACTACCATAGTCTGTTCACTCTGATGCAAAAAGCTTTTTAAACAGTTGTTTCTGAGTATATCCAAGATTATCTCTCTAAACACTTACCATAACATAGTTCTGGTCCTCAGGTAAGGTGTCTGGCATGGCTAGTTACTTTCTTTGTTCATTTGGGCCTGACATTGCTCTGTACTGTTCATCCTACTTGCATATCACTTTGTCAGTCAGTATTAGTCAGTATTTCAGTATTCTGTTTCTGTATTTTGAATTCTTATTTTCATACACATGACTGCTTGAGCCCTGGTGCCAAAAGCTGCTTATTCTCTGGCGTATAAAATTGTAATTTATCCAGGACAGCTTACTAATCTTCTCAAACAGCAGTTACTCCACTTTACAAACCTCCTAATGCAGAAACATGGAGCAACTGCATTTTAATTTTAACTCTCAGATATGTCAACTATGCTATCCGGTGAAGTTTGTGTTGGAGTTAATTATTTTATCCAAGTTACTAGATTAACTGACTTTGCTTGTTGTTGCTTGTTTGCTTGTTGTTGCTTTCTGCTGCATGTCTTTATTGGCTTTCTGTAGTGCAGATTCAGACCAATTGATTGTCTGATTTGGTGCAGTACATTTTTGAGTGATTTTGCTGGCCTGGATGACCACTGGAAGTTAACTTGGAAGCTAATGTAATGTAATTGTGTAACTGGGGCAACACCGATGAACACACACAGAATAGCAGACACACTGGCTGGTAATGCAGACATACATGTGTATGTGTACATGCACACAGCTCACTCATTCTCCCCAGGCATATCTGTAATCAGAGCGGAAAGTAAAAGGGAAGTGCTCTGGGACTTGTCCATGGTAATCACTGCCCTTTCAAAACTAGCCATTATTTTCCATCTAATCAACAGTCAATACTGGCAAAAGAACAGAAATATTAGATTTTTCCTTTATAACCAATGAGACATGGAGCATAACGCCTAGCTTTACAAACCCAGGTTTGTGGTTGCACAATAAAATCGTTCTTATTAGATTTTGTAGATGAAGTGCCTGTAATGCAGGAAATGCTGTTACTGAGATTTAAAAGATCAGTGACTGACTCCTAGCAGTTGGTTGCTAGTTAAATTGACAGCAGTGACCGGTGATTAACACACAGCCTAGCCAGCTTGGCTCTGGAGTATGATATGAATGTGACATAGTGAAATTACACTGCTGGTAAGAGCGCTGAAATAGCCACAGCAGACAGTGAGTGGGCTGGCTGGTGTATGACGAAACTAACTAATCTTTATAAAGTCCACATCCCACATTTTGCTCATACACCTCTGTAAAATAGAATTCTTGCAAATTGGTTGTGTGCTTTATGAGTCATTGAAACTGCTGAGAACCTGTACACATTGGTTTAAATAACTGAAGTAATTGAATTGCATTGTGTTTTCTTTCAAATGGATTAGTTTTGTGTTGTTGAATTTTGTTTTGTTTGAATTTTCTACAATGCTGTGCAAAAGTCAGAGACTCTTTTAATTTCCAGTCAAAACAGCCACAAAGCACAATTATTCATTTTTCAGCGTCAGGGAAGAGACAGAAAACATACATTTAACTGAAAATTACACAGAAGCAAGGAATTTGCAGTGTTTTTGTCTCCACCGTTTGCCTTATTACAGCTTCTTTGAGGAGACTAGCTTTCAGTTTTTCAATAAAATCTGCAGGGATATTTTTCCACACTTTCAATATCAATCTTACAATTTGGTTGCATTTTTTGCTTCTCACGATCTAAGCAGTCTCAGTAATCCCCTAGGATGGTCAGTTCATTGTTCTGAGTACACCAGCAGCTTGTTTGTTTTGTTTGTTTTTGTCTATTTCCTTTTTTCAGTAACAGCTTCTTGACAGCTACACGTTCTTTAAGACCCATATTCTTGAGTTATCTTGGACAGGAACACTTGTGGATTTTTTTAGATCTGAAGTAAGAGTGGAGCATGATTCTCTCCTCTTTCCCAAAGAAGAAAGCTTTAAGTACTGTTTTTCTGGTGGTGACAGTTTTGATGACCCACCAAGTGTATTAGGAGTCCTATTTTTTCTATATCTTGTAATATTTCTTTTAACTACCAGAGTTTTCAGAAACTCCTGCTTTTTCATGTATTTTACTTTGACTTTCCTCTTCCGTATACAAACGCATTATCTTATATCTAATCTCCTCAGAAAGATCTCCTAAAATATAGCAATAACTTATTAGAATATAATAACTTGTACTTAATGGCTATTTTGACTAAAAATTAAATAAACAGTGGGTGACCTCTTTTTTGCACTTTTGCACAGTACTACGTATGACTTGAATTCAGTATACTGTGTGTGGACTTGATGTGAATTTCTTTTCTGTGTGAAGGTTAAAAGACTCATATTAATACAGATTTGTTTCTCCTTTCTCTGTAGCCGTTTGAGCCTACTGACCTACTCCAAGGCCAGAATTTTAGCAAAGTCCTCACTACACTGGTTGCACTGAACAAAGTGACTGCAGGTGAGCTAAACAGAGAAATGCAGGATAGGCAAACATTCTTCAAGGATGGAGAACTTCTACTATTTAAATATTTTATTGCCTGCCGGCCACTGAAAGGAACTGTCAGATGTTAGCAGTGTGAACTTTGGTAGCAGGTTGACTGCGCACTAACATCACAGGCATCCTGTTGCTAGAAACCACCTGAGTAACTTCAGCTGTTATATTTTAAAATATAGCTTATTTGAACTGTTAGTAAGTACTCGACCATCGCTATTTAACTTTTAATAATTTTAGAGGATTATGATGTATTGTTAAATTAAAGTGTTTTATTCACTGTTAAGTACATGGTACATGTGCTGTAGTCAGCACCTTTCACTATGTCTGAGTCTCTCTTGTTTTCCTGCACTGGTAAAGATATCGGCGTTGGCAGTGACTCTGTATGCACGCGCCACTCTTCTGCCCACCGCATCAAGTCTTTCGAATCCCTGGTGTCCCAGACCTCACTGGGCCGATCATCTAAACTGCTCCATAACCAGTTCCGAAGCCTGGTGGGTAGCAGAAGTCAGGATAAAGCTTTGATATCATTATCAGTAGAACTGCATCTTAAAACAACTTTACACTTTGTATTAAAGGTAACAGCAATTAAAATGTCTTTGTTTATAACAGAAACGTTAAAGTTTGTCTTGTCTTTTGCTTTAGGATATGACCGAGAACAGTAACGCCCAGTTGGTGGTGAAAGCTCGCTTCAACTTCCAGCAGACCAATGAGGATGAGCTCTCCTTCAACAAGGGTGACATCATTAATGTCACCCGCACGGAGGAGGGGGGATGGTGGGAGGGTTCCCTCAATGGAAAGACAGGATGGTTTCCAAGCAACTACGTCAGAGAGGTCAAAGGTTGTGGCAAGTGTCAGTCATGTGAAAACAGCCTAAATGCTTTTTTCTTCAACAAAGTTTTATAGTTCTTGAACTAGAACATGTAGCTGACTGTTGATTTGCTTAGATAAATTTTGAGCTCACTTTGAAGACCTGATTGTGTTCTTTTGCTTAATCGCAGACAAACAAGTCTCTCCCAAATCTGGAACACTTAAAAGTCCCCCGAAAGGCTTTGATACAACTGCTCTCAGCAAGACATACTACAACCTGGTGAGAATTATTTCCTTTGTTACTTGCAAACTTTCACAACTAATTATGTTAATATTTAAATTTTGTTGTTATTGTTTTCATGAAAGTTGAATTTGCAACCTGATTAATATTATTATATTGTCGAGTGAGTGAAATAGGGAATATTAAAACCAGCCTAAATACAGGCTTTTCAAGAGCAGAGTTTGTGATATGTAGGTAGCTGACTGTTCTAATGGTGAAGTTTCACTTGCCTAAGGGCTTTGATGGACATTTATGTAAGCTTGTCCTAGTTCTGTCTGGCTAAGATTTTTTCTGGGCATTTTAATGTGTGCCTCTGCTCCTGGTTGTTGAAAAAAGAAAGTGCCAGCTCTTCACTTTGGGAGGTGGATATTAAATGGAGTGATATATATATATATATATATATATATATATATATATATATATATATATATATATATATATATATATATATATATATATATATAATAATATATATATATATATATCTCCATTTAATATCTGCTATATTCTGTGCACTTCTTACAGATTTATTATTGTTTGTGTGTTTATTCCTAGAGTCTTTGTAGGTAAATGAGTCGGTGTAATGTCTTGTGATTGAAATTTAAACTGACGTCAGGCTAGGCATGATGTGCATGATTGCATTTTTTTCAGTGTAATCTTGAGTTTTTGTGAGAAACACATCGCAAAGGGCTGCCATGACAAAACTGTTGTGTTTTGAGTACATATGAATGTTTCTCAGCACAAATGCAGTTTGGGTTATTTATAGCAGCAGTGACTTTTTAACTGTTACCTCTTTCACAGTCTTTCAGCTGTGTGTGATAAAGGCTGATTTTTTTCATGTGCTCCTTTCAACAGCATAAGTTGGCATACTGACTACTGAAAATAAAAACTTTTGTTAATTCCACAGAAATGGAAATTACCTGGCTGAACAGTCCATTGTATATGATGGGTTCTAAAAGAGCCACTCCCCCACTAGCTGTAACAATCTAAATGAACACTGGGAGATGTAGGAATCAAGTTTTATAGATTCTTTAATATAAAAGCTCAATAGCTCTAGAAGCATATCCCAAAATGTGATGATTTTTGTGCTGTTTATTTATTTAGAGAGCTGGAAAATTGATGAAGACTGTTTGACAGTGTGACTGTTCCACTTTTTAAGCAGTAGTTAAGGCATGAGAATGACTGAGGTCAGCTACCAAAGGCGATTCATGTCTGCCCTGGTTATTACTTTCATTTGTCTTGACTTTGCTGAGCTTTAAAATGGCATGAAAAATGCAAAACACAAAAACGCAGGTCACAAAATTCAAAACCATTCAAATATATTTACCTATTAAGTACATTAAGATTAGGCCAGAGCATTCAGGTTGAGGTAAGGACTGTTTTAGTGACTTTTACTACTTTTAACTACTTTTTCAATGAGGCACAATACAGGGTAGCCAATCAGAATAGAGGTCATTTACATATATTAGTCTTAAAAGCACAGTACAAAGGATAAAGAGAGGTTGGAAATGTTTGTGTGGCATGAATTGCAACTAATTTCGGTATAAGAAACCACAAAAATATCATAGTGCTTTGAAAAAGTATTTGCACCTCACCTTATTTCTTCTATTTTTGCTAATTTGTCACATTTAAATGTTTCAGATTGTCCAGCTAATTTTAATGTAGGAAAAAGACAACACAAGTAAACACAAAATGCAGCTTTTAAATGATCATTGTATTTATTGAAAATAAAAATGTAATCAAAACCTAAATCACCCATGTATTGCCCCCCCTATACTTAACAACTGTTTGCGCCACCCTTGGCAGTAACAACTGCAGTCAGACGTTTGCAGTAACTAGCAGTGAGTCTTTTACATCACTGTGGAGGAATTTTGGCCCACTCTGCTTTGCAGAATTGTCTTAATTAGGCTACACTGGAGAGTTTTTTGAACATGAACTGCCTGTTTAAGGTCTTGCCACAACATCTTAGTGGGATTCAAGTCAGGACTTTGACTCAGCCAATCCAAAACCTTAATTTTGTTTCTTTTGAGCCATTCAGAGGTGGACTTGCTTCTGTGCTTTAGATCATTATCCTGCTGCATAACCCAACTGTGCTTGAACTTTTGGTCATAAACTGCCAGGCAGACATTCTCCTTCAGGATTTTCTGATCGGAGCAGAATTAATGGTGCCGTCAATTATGAGAAATCGTCTAGATCCTGCAGAAGCAAAGCAGCCCCAGACCATCACACTACCACGCCATATTTGACTGTTGGTATGATGTTCTTATGGTGGAATATGGTGTTAGCTTTACGCCAGATGTAACAGGAAGCATGTCTTCCAAGAAGTTCCACCTTTGACTTATCAGTGTACAGAATATTAGTCCTGGAGGTCATCTAGGTGTTTTTTGGTAAATGCGAGACAAGTCTTTGTGTTCTTTTTGGTCAGCAGTGATTTGCAAAATCATATACATTGACCTTAACTGAGGCAAGTGAGGCCTGCAGTTCTTTAGATGTTCGTTTGTGTTCATTTGTGACCTCTTGGATGAGTCATCAGTGAGCTCTTGGTGAAACTTTGGTAGGCCGACCACTCCTGGAAGGGTTCACCACTGTGCCAGGTTTTCTACGTTTGTGAATAATGGCTGATTCGCGAATCCCAGAGCCTTAGCAATGGCTTTGTATCCCTTTTCCAGACTAGTAGATTTCAATGTCATGTGTATTTGAATCTCTTTAGAATGTAGCATCATGTGCTGCCTTTTAAGAGCTTCTAGCCTGCTTCACATTGCCAGATAGGTTCTATTTAAATGATGTTTAGATTCAACAGGTCTGGCAGCAATCATGCCTGGGTGTCGCCAGTGAAATTGAACCCATTAGTCAATTCAGTTTGGTTAACCGGTTGATTTAGTAGCTAAGGGAGCAGTTACTTTTTCACATAGGGATAGGTAGGGCTGAACAGCATTTTTCCTTCAATAAATGAAATCATAATTTACAAACAGCATTTTGGGTTATCTTTGGCTATTATTAAAAGTAGTTTGAAAACATTCAAGTGTGACAACTATGCAAAAATAGAAACTGAGAAGCGGCAAATATTTTTTCACAGCACTGTAAGTGGACCTTGTCTAAGGTATAAAATACAAAAAAATAGCTTTTGTCTGTTTGTCCTTACAACAGGTGCTACAAAACATTTTAGAAACAGAAACGGAGTACTCGAAGGATCTTCAGAATCTACTGTCAATCTACCTGAGACCACTACAGAACACAGAGAAGTAAGCCATTCTGTTATCCCTCCCCACCTCCTTTTTGTGTCAGCTGTTTTAATGATCCCTCATGTACTGATGGAAATTGAATGCATACAGGATTTTATAATGCCCTTTCTTATTGCCTGTACTATGATCTGTATTTACACGTAATTAGAATGTGGAGGAGGCATTTGAATATTGTTTGAATTCACATGGTTTACATGACATTCTCTCACAGTTGATTGTAGGATGGCAGATGGCTGTTAATTAGAGCTTAGCTAGAGCAAACGCAAATAATAGATCTGCCATGTATATTACCGATCTTGTGTAATCCTGGATTATCTTGTTATAATTGGTTTACCCACAATTATCTATAACTCTCTCTCTCGCTCTCTCTCTCTCTATTTCTCTCTCTCTCTCTATTTCTCTCTATTTTTTATCACTCCTGCTGGGAATCCCTCATTCCACCTTAGACTTAGCCCTGCAGATATCAGTGTCATTCTGGGGAACCTGGAGGAAATCAGCACCTTCCAGCAAACCCTTGTCCAGTCACTGGAGGACTGCACCAAGTAAGTGTTAATAATCAGCTCTTAACATCCATTGATAATTTATGACTGAAGTGCTAAAACACTTGGCTCAAATAAAGCTCATAAGTTTGGGTACCTCTACTCAAATTACATGTTTTGTTGTTTTTGTAAGTAAAAAGAAGTTGGTACATCCTCTACAGAGAACACGCTTTTGCATATTTAATGCACAACTACTGTTTATTTGCTGAATGTAATATAATGGAAAACAATAAAACATAAAATTGGTCAGGTTTTATATTTCATGTTTTTTCCATTGTGTTAAACTCAGCAAATACATAGAAATTGTGCACTGAAATTTTCAGAAAATCCCACATTTAAGTGTTTTGTCTGCAGAGGATGTGTTAACTTATTCTTGCTTAGAAAATCATGAAAGGATGTCATTTGACCAGGGGTGTTCAAACTTTTCCATGCAATTGTATATGTTGAACTAACGATTTGATGATAGCTATAGACGAGGTCAGCTAAATGCATGTGAGGTCTGTATTGTGTTAAAAAGGCTAGCATTCTGAGAGCTTTGTTGTGCTTATACTGACCTCTACAGGAAAACAGTTCAGTAGGTTTGGAATTCTGCTCTATCTGTACGCTAAAAATGTATGTAGGCCTAAATAGTCAGGACCACTGCAGTGAAGTTTGGGGAAGAACAAGCATGTTCTTGTTGCAAATCAAGTTGTCAGAAATGAAAAAATGAGGGCCTTGACTATCTTGTTCCTTTGCTGAAGATAGTGGCAAGTTCCTTTGCTGTTTAGTAGTGAAATTGTGTTGGTCATTGTGTATGCTCTGACACCTTGGACTCTTGTGAACACTATACTGACTTACATGGTTCCTCTTATTACCTCCACATCTACCACAAGTGCCTAGCAATGTTTTAGTGAAACTTTGAGTGACAAAAGGAAATTGTGAGAATTGAGACCTAATCAAACGCTTTCTCTCTGTGTTCAGACTACCTGAGCTGCAGCAGAAAGTAGGAGGCTTCTTCCTGAACCTCATGCCCAAAATGAGAGCTCTGTATATGGGTTATTGCTCCAACCATCCATCAGCTGTCAACATTCTGACTGATCACAGGTACACCACTGCTGTCTGCGCTACGTGTATGTCAAAAAATTCCACAAGTATTCCTTAAACAGCATTTCTTGTGTGTATCTGTTTAATAGTGAGGATCTAGGAGAGTTTATGGAGGGGAGAGGGGCCAGTTCTCCAGGCATCATCACTCTGACGACAGGCCTTAGCAAACCTTTCATGAGACTAGACAAATACCCTACACTGCTGAAAGAGCTAGAGAGACACATGGAGGTAAGAAAGAAACTCAGTACTCTATTACATCTTCATGATCATGATTGATCATCTTCATGATTGTGTATTTATTATTTATGTGGTAAGCATTAAAGTGGGTGCTATTGTATTCTTCGTTTGGTTCTCCACAGGAAGGTCACCCAGATCGGACAGAAATTCAGAAGTGTATGACTGCATTCAAGAATCTTTCTGTGAGTTAGAAATTGAAGTGGCCTCTATGCTACAGCTTTTACTGTGAACTCCTTGTTAGTATGCTACGTAGTGCTCCCTGTATCTCTGCTCACACACTGACGCCTTGGTGCTCTGCCTTGCCAGTCAGGTGTGGACCATTCCCATGGTAACCAGCCTGTTTTTCACACTGTGTTTCCATGGTTACAGGCCCAGTGTCAGGAGGTGCGGAAGCGTAAGGAGCTGGAGCTTCAGATTCTCACTGAGTCCATTCGGCTGTGGGAGGGGGAGGACATCAAGACTCTGGGCTCTGTGCTCTACATGAGTCAGGCCATGGTACAGAACCATGGTTGTGAGGTAAGACTGCACTATCTCTCCCATACAGTCTTGTGAAATAGTCTCCAAAGCTGCCCTTGTATTGGTTATATTGGCAGTAATTTGTGCTCATGAATTATGCATTCTCTTAAGTAGGGCTGGGATGATAAACAGTTTTGAAAAATCAATGAATCAGGACAAAATTATCAATAAATATTGTTGTCTTTTTTAAAACCATGGATGTATTACAGTTGTGTTCAGTATATCTAGGACAGTTTCCAGGTGACAAAGCCTTAATAAGGCCTCTGTTATACGTGTGCAGCCGTAGTGCAGAATGAGCTATAATACGACTGCAGCATGCCCCCCACAATGCGCCTGAATTTAACGTTCAGTATACACAGCTTATTGTGCGAAGTGTGTGCGGCCCCTTCCACTAACAGCGCTCTTTTGAGGTGCAGGGAAAAGCCGCTGTGAAATAATGCATTAGTCAACAAAAAGAGACAAAAGAGAAACTGAAAGTTCAGTCATGAAGAGATAGCGATCTTAATAAATAAAGATCTTTTCCATCCAAACATTCTGAAGAACTGGTCTTGTGACACATGGTCTATGCACTGGGTAGTGGTACAGTTACAGACTGTAGTCCAGCTGTTTCTCTTCATATATTGATAGCCCCCTTTCACCCTGTTCTTCAGTGGTCAGGACCCCCAGAAGACCAACACTGAGCAGGTATTATTTGGGGGTTGAATCATTATTATCACTGCATTGATGCTGACATGATGGTGGCGTGTTAGTGTGTGTTGTGCTGGTATGAGTGGATTACTGTCTGCTCTGTGGTGGTCCTGAGGAGGTCCTGACCATTGAAGAACAGGGTGTACCTATATGGTAAGTGGAGCTGACAAAATGGACAATGAGTGTAGATACAAGTGTAGAGTGTACCTAATAATGTGACGTGTGTGTGTGTGTGTGTGTGTGTGTGTGGTTAGTCATGTATGGAAAAAGTCTAATGGCAGCGATGAATGTTTTTCAGGAGAGGAACGAACGTTATCTTATGCTCTTCCCACATGTTCTACTTATTCTCTCGGCTAGCCCAAGAATGAGTGGCTTCATCTACCAGGTCAGCAAATAAGCACCTTCAAAAACATACTACAACATGTTCAAATAAGCAGTGATATCGCAAATCCACTCATAGCCTTGCTATTCATCATAGACATTAAAGGTCCTTGCTTGCTTTGTGTAAAGACAAAATGTCCTTTTTTTTTTTCTTTTTCTTTCCCTTTTTTTTCTCAGGGCAAGCTACCTTTGAGCGGCATGACAGTAACTCCATTAGAGGACTGTGAAAGCCACAAAAATGCTTTTGAGCTCTCGGGTGAGAACAAACCTGCACTATTTCTTTTATTTTAAGTTAAGATAGCAGGGAGGTTTTTAATGTGTTTATATGACTGAAATGAATGCAGGAACTGAGCTGGTTTGTTTAGTGTGTTTTATTCATCCTTGCAGGAAGCATGTTTGAAAGGCTGCAGGTTGTCTGCTTTAACAAGCAGGATCAGCAGGACTGGCTGGAGCACCTGAACCGTCAGACCAAACACACCACCATGACAGCGCCCAGCATGAAGCCTCTCACAGTGCCCTGCCACACGGTGAGTGTTTGATTAGACAAACTCTATTAAGGGCTGTGGTGGTCATGTGTGGTGTTTTTTTTTTTTTTTTTTTTTTTTTTTTTTTTTTCCCTGCCCAATTTGGGCATATCCATTTCCACTTGCTAGTTAGTGGACTGCCCCGATTGCCACAAATGCTAGGAGGTCAAAGACAAACACAAGCTTCTTCGGAGTCACGTGAAGCCAGCCACCGCACCTTTTGAACTGCCGCCAACATCATTAGACAGCTAAACTTGCTTGGAGGAGAATGCTAACTGCCAGTTCTGTTACGTCAGCTAAGAGATGCCTGCGCTGGCTAGCATTGCACTGAGTGATGGGGGGAGATGGGAGAGTCATCCTGCTCACCCAGAGAGAGCGAGGCCAATTGTGCTCTCTTGGATTCCTGGCCATGGATGGCTGTAGTATCACCAGGGATTGAACTCGTAATCTTCTGATGATCGGCCCAACGCTTAGACAGTTAGGCCACTCAGGATCCCCTCAGTTCAGTGGGTTATCTACTAAGAACGTTTGTGCACATGAACTCAGGTACATCATTGTTGTTGATATAAATCCCAGGTTTACTTGTCTTTTCTTTGTATGGAAACCAGGTAGGAGGAAAATAATAGTTTTTGTAATTTTTTTCCCCTCTGTTTCTAGCAGTATGTTATGTTGAAAATTTGACTTTGAATCTCAGAATAACAGTCTTTCTCAAAATAATCTCTTCTTGAGATTTTGATTTGGTATAACGAAATAATTTGTTATTAAGAATTATTACTTTTCAAGAAAGTATCATTTATTTTGACGAGTTAATATTTTTACAAAAGACATTATTTTAATATACTAAGTCGAAATATATTGTAATAAGTCATTATTTTGCCTTAATAATAAAAAAAAAAAACAATCAAGAATTTTACACACTGCTGCCACAATCAGGGGAAAAAAACAACTAAGCAACAAAGACAGTCAAAAATAGGACAAGCTTTTTACAGGTGTTAAATAGGACACATAATTATCAAGTCAGTGTTTACTTTCAGCCTTGGTAAATTGGAGTAGGTGGTTTGCGATGGTGCACAACAGTAGATCTGCCTCTTCACTTTTTGTGCTACGTTTTAGGTGAAACACATTTTGTCCAAAATGGCATACGTTTTGTATTGAATTTACCAAAACAGTTGCTCCTGTGCTTAAGATAACACTTCTTTCTCATTACTGTAATCCTCCAGCTCCCATCTCACCCTCTTACACCGTCCAGACACGCAGAGAGCCGGGGACTGACTGTGGCTCCTGCCTACCACACCCTCCCCCACCCCTCCTCTCATGGAGCCCCGCACAGCACCATGATGTGGGGTCCCCTGGAGCCGCCCAAAACCCAGAAGCCTTGGAGCCTTAGCTGCCTGCGACCTGCGCCTCCACTCAGACCATCAGCTGCACTTTGCTATAAAGAGGTCAGTGTATGTTCTACTCAAGGAATTATCTTAAACCACTGCACCTTTAAAAATTTCTTCAGTTGAAGTGGGTGTATTTAGAGCACGGTAAATACTCACATTTACAGGACATAGTTCATTCAGAACTAGATTTGAAAACCACTGCCTTAAATAGTCTTCTTCATTCATAGTATCTCCCTCTCCCTCACACTCACCCACTTTCTCTGTTTCTCTTACTATTCTTTCAGGACCTCAGTAAAAGTCCTAAAAGTATGAAGAAGCTGCTACCGAAGCGAAAGCCTGAGAGGAAGCCGTCTGATGAGGAGTTTGCACTGAGGAAGAGTAAGTTTGCCTGTTTGCTGATGCTAGTGATAGTAAGAATTACTGTGGAGACGCTCCTCTAATGCTCTCTAACTGGAACAGGTACTGTAGCTTTGGAGGAAGATGCTCAGATCCTGAAAGTGATCGAAGCCTACTGTACGAGTGCCAAAACCAGACAGACTCTAAACTCAAGTAAGATTACTCACATGCTCTCTTATTAGATGTTCTTTCTATATGTCTCTAATGCTGCATAAACCTGGGTCTACTTGATCTTAACAGTATCATTCTTTGGGCTGTGGTAACAATATCCTCTCTTTCTCTTTCCTCTTCACTCATTTTTGTTTTTTGGCGTCATTCGTTTATTCATCCTTAATCCCCTGCTCATTTATCTAATCCTCTTTTGGGTACTTTCACCACTGCGCATTCGTATGTATACCTTTTCCCATTTCCATAATACATTTCCATGATTTCTCCCACTTGGTTATTGTTTTTTTTATACCCCCCCCCCCTTCTCTTTTTATTCATACGGTTTATCACCCTGCAAACACACGCCCGTGTCTTGTGGGGAAATCGCCCACTGTTCATTCATGATTGGACTATCATCTCCTGCTGTGACCGGCCTGCCCTTCACCTGTATCAGCATGGCAGGGTACTGACCTGATGCATAACCACGTGTTGGATCAGTCCAGCGTGGACTCTCTGGGTCGCCGCAGCAGCATTTCACGGCCTGAGGCCACATCGGATCTATCAGAAGACTCGGACTATGACAGTATATGGACAGCCCATTCTTACAGGATGGGCTCCGTTACCCGTAAGAGCTGCAGCTCGTACATCTCCCACCAGAACTAAACTCCCCCCCCACTGCTATTTAACTTCATTCAGTTTACTTTATTTATTAATTTTTTATTTATGTATTTATTTATATTTTCTATTTATTGTATTTATTTATCTGTTTGTTCACATGCCTGTATTGAACCTCACTCCTGGCTCAGTTTTTTTTGTCCTTTTTGTGCACTTATCCAAAGCAGTTCCTTGTTGCCTTGACAACTTCAAGCCCCTTTTTGCCTGTGTTTTTGATGTCCCCTCATGTAATAATTGGGGAACATGCCTTTCTCTCCCTCTATGCTAACTAGTATTTCATCATTAAGAGTAATAAGAAGTAATTTGTGGATCTTTTGAATCAATCTCGATTTCGTCCTGCTAAAAACTGTAAAATCTCAGACTTTGTAAATATTGTAGCATTGTCATTTATTTTAGATGTGAAGTATTATTGAAAAATGGCTTTGTTTACTTAGGACAAGCGTCGGGCACAAAAATTCCATTTTCAGTGTTTAAAGGATGCAAGACAATAGAAGAGTTAAATGTCATGAAAAAAAAGCTTTGGTGAAAAACTAGATCATGAGTTATTACTTTGGACAGTATTAGTGGATTATTCTGTATCTCTGTCTTATATTTATGTATTTATTTTTAGGTTGTACAGAACATGCATTTTGAATTTATTTTGACATTTAAAAGCTTATATATAACATGTATGTTCATAAAAAGTGTCTACATATGGTATGAATGTCTGCCAAAAGTTGTTGAATTTTAATGTCAGTTCATGAATTCCTTTGAATGAGTTTAAATCAGGTATGTTGTTGGAACTGAAGGCTTCTTTGCAACTAATATGAGGCGCCGTGAATACCAGTAGTGTTTAAGTAAAGATGAACTTTTCCTCTTTTATGTATGAGGTGTTTAGGTAAAAAGAGAAAAAGAGTGTTCAGGTAAAAGAGAAATCTGTCTTGCCAATTACAATGTTAGTACCTGAACAAAAAAACAAGACTATAACTCTTCATGTTGTGTAGTATTCCTTGTGACCAAGTTCTATTCTGTGGTTAAAACAAAAAATAGACAAGAAAACATGAACCAAATGGACGAACTTACTGCCCTTTTGTCTGTTGTACTGTGCAGGTATTCCAGCTCTCTGTATAAATCAGAAGTCAGTGATGTTTACGTGGTTTGAAATGAAGATATTACTGATGTGTTATATATATATATATATAAATATAAATGCAGATCACACTCATTGTAATATACATTTTCAATAAATCTTGGCTTTGTTAGACTTTTTTTGTACAATATTTTGTCCTTTCTGGGGCAGTACCTGTGTAATAATTTAATGTGAATATGTAATATTCTTATTCTTTAAATATAATTTATATCACCTCTGCCTTTTTGTTACATCTGTAACTAGAATTTGCTGTTTTTCACATAGAATGAAAGTGTAATAAGGAACTTTTTGTTGGTCCTCTCTCTTTTGTCTTCGATGTTCCCTCTCTGCATGACAAACTTGTCTCACTCCTGTCTCATGCACAGTTCTTTGGACGTCTGATCCAGTCAAATCACTGTTTCTTAGCATCTTTGTCTCTTTAACTGATCTTACCAGTCAGTCCAACACATGGCGATGTGCAGAAACCAAACTGCAGGGCTTTGGCTTTTCTTTCGGAACAGGACAGCGGCGAGACACTGCTCCAGCACTGATCGTTCCGGCTGAGGAGAAAATGATTGTGGAGGAGATGAAGAGCAACGGGCAGACAGTTATGGAGGAGAAGTAAGAATAAATGCTTTATTTCTCACTTGTTCTTAAAACTTATTCAACTGATCAAGGTATACTAAATCTTGTTGTAGGGGTATTTTTAACATTCATATACTGTGAAGTATATTTTTATGGTATCTTCCATTGTAATTCATATTACAGGACTCTGGTAGATGTTGTTTATGCTCTGAGAGATGAAGTGCAAGAGCTTAAACAGGTAAGTGCTGGAAATATTTTCCTCAGTGGACTTCTCTGCCTCTCCCATACATTTTTGAATGTACATTAATCTCTTATTATATATATGTATCCATGTAGTCATATGATTTCATCTACAAACAGGACAATAAGAAAATGAAACGATCTCTTGAAGAGGAGCAGAGAGCTCGCAAAGACTTGGAAAGGATTGTACGGAAAGTTTTAAAGAATATGAATGACCCCTCCTGGGATGAGACCAATTTATGAGATCGCTATGACTTGTTTTTATATCTGTACGTGTTTCACTGTGTGACTGATTTTGAAAACAAATTTGATGGGTTGATGATGATGATGATGATGATGATGATTTATTTTTATTATTATTATTATTATTATTATTATTATTAATTTTTAAAGACTGATTTCTTTGATTTCAAATATATGATTTGTGGGGCTTGGTCAAGTTTCACATATCTATAATATGACTCACTGTTGACTCCTCATGAAACCTTTCAGGTACTGAGGTACGTGCCCCCCCCCTTCTTTGCTCATGCTGAATTATTTTTTATTTATTTATTATTTTTGATCACAGAGAGAAATCGAAATCTTATAGCATGAAGTCTCATCAGATTTATCATATACTCCAGCATTATTTATTTCTGAGAACACTACCTAATTAAAGCATTCCAATGTTATGCTTTGTTATTTTCATAACCAATTAACAATCAGTGATGTAGAAATGGATGTGTTAATGCATTTTTTGTGATTTCTATTTAGTTTCTAATAGAAATTCAAGTTATTTCTGAAGGGCAGAATTTACCAGCGTTCCTTTTTAACATGATTTCAATATGATTTGATTGAATTAACTGAAACACTGTTGTACTGTTGAATGAATACATAATACTTAGTTGTTGAACTGTTGAATCATAGAATCATGCAAATTGTAAGCTGAAATATTTTGAAGATTCTTTTTTTAACCCTTAAATCTGTAGTCACCTTCTAAGAGACCATGCAACCTCATGACTAACATGACCAAGCAATTTTACGCTGGGAGAGAACTTATTGTGTTACAGTTTTACCCTAATAGGAGGTGAATTGTCCTCTCAGTCTTTAGATCTCCCTGGTGGTGGTATAGTAAGAAGCCTAAAGGAACCATCCCTGGTTCACTTTAGCTTCTGCAATGAAACAGGAGAAGTCTTTGTATTTTACTATTCTGCATTATTTTAATTGTGAACGTTTATTCAGAAATACTACATACGGTACCACTGTTGTACAGAAACATGTACATTGTGAATAGCAGAGAGATATGGGCCTCAGCAATTGTTCTTTTTTCCCTTTGTTATCCACAAAATAAGCTGCAGTTTTGCACATAATGACTTATTCAGTTATATTTCAAAGCAAGTCTCATGCTGACAACTTAAATATAGATATGAATCAAATGTCACATTGAATAACAAACAAATCTTTGGTGACAGTTTTGTGAATATTTGTGTTGACCTTGCTTCAACTTGCCATATTTTTAACATGTGGAAAATTCAATTTTGCCATGCCCTGTATGTTGTAGTGTAGTTGCACTAGAGCATGTAAAGACAAGACAAATGCAAAATCCTTATTTATGGACTGATCTTTCTGTAAGTGCTCACTGAGGACTGTGATCTGCATCTAACTGACTTTCCTACAAGAATAACCTCATCAGAACTCTGTAGGTATTCATTAAGGAGTCTCCTTGACCTCCAGATGGCTGCCCTTGTACAATGTTGCCAATGTTACCACAAATTAATTATGTAAATAAAGATATCTGCTTGTTATTTTCTTCTTTGTGTGTGTGTTTAGGATTTTTGGAGAATGTATTGCAGTCTAGAATCTTAGCAGCAAACTCCAGATGATCTGCATTGTCACTGTGTGAGCTGCAGCATGTCAAAAATAAGGCCAAATTTTAAGCTGGAAAAATTCCAACGTTTGTTCCTGTAAGAGAGGCTGATGATGAGGATGACTTTGTGCCCTTGTCTTTCTTCCCCTTGCAGCAGTGCTGCATGAAGGTTGCGCATGCACCAGGACCTATTACAGTGACAAGGCAATCTAGGCCCTTTGTGGGCGATGATTCTACTTCATTGATTTACAATGGAAAGGATATAATTTTGCTGGTGTTGGCAAAAAGCTCAAATGTCAGCCTTTTCAGAATGCCAGCATTGCCTTGTTCGCGGATGAATAAGGAGAAAGTCACCTTTTGTCTCCCGTTAAATATTCCTGCATAAATACAAAGGGGCATAATGACCTCCAGATAAAAGGAAGCCCTGATTTATCCCAATTTATCCTTTAGCGTATAGATAAAACCCACAGATAAATGCCAGGCTGGCCTTTTCATTTTTGTGCACTTCTATTCTTTTCTCTGTTTTTTTTCCCCCCAACCTTATTGAGTTTAGAAGACAGCAGCACTGCTTTCATTTGAGATGCTGACATTATGTAGAAGACAACTGTCTGCATCACCCATCGCCAAGAACCACTGAATGTCTTTGGGGAAAAAAACTGCAAACAATATGTGGACCCTTTGAACAGCTGAACAATACAAATGATCTGTTCACATCCTTTTTTTGCAACATTGGATCCTTTCCTATTCTCCCGTAAACCGTGCTGGTTTTTGGGGCTCAGGGCCGAGTCGTCAGGGAAGTAGACAGTTTGGGCCAAAGCTAATCACACCTGTAGAGTGTAATGGTCCTCTATTTGACTCCAAGTGTCAGGCCAGGTATTAATACCTCCTCCACTGTTACTGACAGTGAAGTATAATAGCTGTCTTTGAAGGCCCGAGTGAAAGGGACAGCAGGACTCTGTGGACATTGAATCAATTAGCTTTTGACCAACCTATACACACACACTCATGCACATACGCACACACTCCTCTAAGACCCTGTCTTTTCCTTTCTTCCCCTGGGTCTATTCAGTAGCCTGTGATCATTTAGATTTGACATGCATTGTGGCTGAGCTTGTCTCTCTCTTTCTCTTTTGCTCTCTCTCCCTCTTTTGCTACTGTCTGTCATTAATTTCCAGGCTTTACAATTTGCCAAAAAGAAAGAGAAAGGAGAGTGAGGGATGGATGGAAGGATAAGAGCTCAGTGTCCTTTTGAAGGGGTTTGTTATTGCACAAAAAAACAGCCGCCCAATAATTTTTCGTCAATGTTTAACTCTAAAAGCTTTTCCCCGTCAGCTTTTGAAAAGAAGAGCAATAAAGCCCTATTGAAAAGGATTGAATAAAAACAGTCCTCTGGGGCTTTGACCGAAGGGCTTCTTTTCTTCTGCCTCTAATCAAATAGGAACTGAAATGAATTAGAGTTTTCTTATGAAAATAGCCTTTGTTGGCAGGGAGGCCAGTAATTCATAAACAATAAGCAGCGTCATTGTGTGCATAGTAATATATTCATGCTGTGGAGAGGCTAGAAGGCAGTGCTATGGCTGTGTGGATGAAGAGAGGGATGGATTGCCTCTGGACTCTTTAGAAACAGCCTCAGCTCAGTGAGCGCTTCTCTTCCTAGGGAGCTGAGCCTTTCTTTCTCATCTTCTCTCTGTTGCATTTGTACCTTTTTGCTTTTTTCATTTTCTACTTTCTCTTTTTTCTCCTTCACTTTCTCTCATCTGCTTCATTTCCTTTCCTTTCTATCATTTTCTCACTTTTATCTCCTCCAGATGTGTCTTTTGGATGTCACAGTGATTTTCCTGGGACGATGGACCTTACTCTTTATCCTCCGCCCTCCTTTCCTCTCCCAGAGTCAGTGGATCTGTTCTTCACTCCAGTGGAAGTTAGACACAGTGCTGGATTTGGCTCTGCACTCGCTTTTCAATTTCTGTCTATCCTCCCTTGGGGAAACTAATGGACTAATAGGATCGTGCGGTTGGGAGACAGTGACTGGTGAGCTGAAGGGCTATTTGATGTCTGTCATCACGGTGCAGGCGGAACATGAGGAAGGAGAGCATATGGGAGAAATCAAAGAAGGAAAGGATATTTTTTACCTCTGTGCCTTAATACCTGTAGGAAAAGGAGTCAAAGTTGGGGAAATGTATGAAACTATGTTGCTGTACAAGAACTCGTGAAGGAACTACTTGACTAGGTGCAACCAGCAGTCTTTTTCTTCAGCATCTCCATCAAAAAGTGACCAAAATCTTTTGCCAAGTGTGCTGTTGCTCACATCTCAGTGCATTTTCTTACCCACAGCTTTTCCTTCATCTGCTCTTTAGAGTGTGCAAATCTTTCGGATCACATTGGATTTATCAGTTTCCTGCTACCTTGATGTCCTACTTTCTCATGGAAACTTTTAAACTTCATTGTTGACCTTGTGGAACCAACCAGAGAAGATAACATTAAAGATTTTTTAATATTTTAATATTGCCCTTGGGAATTGTCATCACAAGCTTTTTCTAAGGATCATCAACATCTACTCTTCAGTTATATCTAATGAGTTTTGGTGGTATTGTCTAAGCAGCTGACAGTAAGTACTATATCAGCTACAAGTTTAGGCTTCACAAGCAGTCCAGTCTATAAGGAAGAAAAGAGCTCCCAAGAAAGACTTCCGTGCTGGAAATAAGCTACTGTTTTAATGAAAAAAACCTGTTGGAGCAGTGATGCGTCACTGGTAAATAACCAAGTAAGTGTGTTTCTTATTGAATAGAGTCCGTTTGGGAAATGCCCCTGTTTTATAGCTGTTTAAGTGTTTTTATTGCAGAAGACCCATGTGCAAACATCTAATCACAGGCAAATACTGTTGCATGGTTTGTTTTTGCTAGTTTTCAAAGAAGTTGATTATTTCTGTAAGAAATGGTCATTAGGAACGCTTCAAAAGTTAGTCATTACTTCATTACAGGTGTATAGTTGTCAAGTTATTAGAGGCCTGTGCTGGGGGTCAACAGGAACAACTGATTTTTCATTTTGAAAGAGGTATATAGCTGTTTCATATAAGGTATATCATTTCATAGAAATATGTGTACTTTATGTATTGCAATGTGCTTTAAATTGCAGTCTTAAAAGTGAGACATTTCTTAGACCATAAAACTAGAGGAAAAATAGGGCAGAGCCTTTAAGCTTTGATGTTCTGTAGCCTTCATATTTTGGTTTTTATGGTAGATGAGTGCATCTGTGCTTCATTAGCATTTAAAGTTGCATAAAAACTCAACTGCAGCAATATCAACACTATGTTTGTCATAATGTGACATTTATAGTGCTGGAATGTTATGTTTAAAGCTGGTAATAAGCAGTGAGGTGGATTAGGAGCACTGTGTAGTGCATCATCCCAGCTTTTGCTACAAATAATAACACTGCTGTAGTGATAATTGTAATTCTTATTCAAATTCTAATTCTCTTTCTTCTGAATTCAATGCTATTAATAGGGAGTTTGCTGCAATAACAGCCTCTACTCTTCTGGAAAGGCTTTACACTAAATGTTGGAACATTGTTGATTTAATTGCATTAAGCCACAAGAGCATTAGTGAGGTCAGGTGCTGATGTTGGAAGATTAGTTTTGGATCACAAACGCCACTTCAACTCATTGATGGTGCTCCATCACTCCAGACAACACAGATTGTTCCACAGACCAGTTCTGGGGGCTTTATACCCCTCCAGCGGACGTGGTATTGGTGTTGGTGACCTGTGGCTGTTCCAAATAGTTCCATTCTATTAACAACGCTTTACTGTGGAGCAAGTTGGATATGAGCAGTAGACGCTTCGCTAAACCCCGCCCCTAAATACCAACTGTTCAATCACAGCTAAGCAACTGTAATACCGCCCAGACTTCTCGGCCAAGATTTCAGAACTGTACAGTACAGCGTTGTGTGGGCGGTAACTTATAAACTGACACCCCATATCAAGAGTCTGGAGGGGGAGTGACATTTTAATCGTTTCCTAAAGCACACAAAAAAAGGCATAGGCATAGGATCTGGATTAAACGGTGTGAAGACCGCATTCCCAGTTCAAATTGTCAAAAATCACAAAAAACGCACCTACAGCAAGGTAAGTTACGTTGCTAGCTAAGTTAGTTTACTAGCACGTCTGACTCTTTTTTGTTATTCTCTTTAAATTTAGAATAATGTTAAAACTAAAGACAAGTTTTAATAGAACATATCATTGCAGCACTTTGTGAATTTGCTGTAGTATACAAAACCATGTTTTCATTAGTGTATAATCACCTGTAACTACGAATCATTGTGGTTACGTTAGCTTAGAATGAGCCCTTCGTATCCACGTAGGGAGCGGATCCTCTTCCAACAGAGCCCACTGTTTCTAAAATAGTCCAGACAAACCAAACACTGGCTCTAAAGAGATCCTTACACGGCTTTACTTTAAAGCAGCAGCTTGAATCTGGTGGCTCTGTAGCACCGTTTAGAAGATGTAGAAAGAAGACGAGTTTTTTTACGTCTTTCTGCTGAATCTTTCTGCTGGTGCTGGCTAACCATTTTGTGTAATGAGAGGTTTGAGAACAACTGACAAATAGAGGGTCATACCTAATATTTAGCACAAGTAAAAGCATGGGAGGATGAATGCTCGTTGTCAAAGAAGTGAAAACATGACAGCCACTGGAGTTTTTACTACATGCTTGGAAAGGAAAGGGTGATGGAGGGGTATTCAATTGGTTGCAATCTGTAACCTCACCACTAGATGCCACTAAATCTCACACAATACACCTTTAACAAGACAGTGGGATGCACACTTAAATATGTAGTCTGTATGTGCCTACCTCACAGTACAGAAACAATGCTACTCTTTTATTTTCGACTCTTATAACATGACATGGCTCACTAGCTGATGAGGCTT